TTGGCTTACTAGGCTATTCCGCGTCAAACCTGCAACGAGCTACATCTGTATGAACTTGTCACGCAAACGCACGCGACAGGAAGTGTCGACATTGCTGCGGAAATGGCGCAAATACGGAATAATGGATATACAAGTGGATAAGGAACGCAACATTGTCTTTGCGCGAGTCGGAGCTGAGAACTGTGAGTTGCCAAATGTGCTAACGTCCATGTCCTTAGATGGCAGCTAATGAAAATCACAGGCTTGAACCTCAAACCAGTTGCATTCGCCGCAGAGGTGATGACGGTGATTGAGCATGGTAAGAAGCAACAGCTTAGTATCATCCGCTTCACCCAAGAGCGTGGTGCTGCAAGCAGCTTCCACAAAGTTGTGGATACGATGAGGATTGTGTTTACCGATCGCAATCTCGTGGTTAAGGACCCAAGCAAGCAAAAGATGATGATCAAGACTCTAAACTCGTGATGCACGGCGCTTTACTGCTTTACTGCTTTTCTTTTCTGTTTCTTTTTTACCTGGGTGCTTGGGATGTATCACTGGGACAGACCTGATTAACTGTTTCGAAGACGACTGAATATATGGCGGCGACAGCAAGGGAGCCCTTCCGACACACCGTGGCTGTGGACCAAAATGGGATCTCAATGGACTCGAGCTACGCTTTGCGACAAAATTTCAACGTGGTTGAAGCTAATTTTCTCTTCTTTTTAATCAACATTTCGGAATGGAGAACAACAACGATTCTTCCAATGGGGGTCGGTTTATTTTGTGAAGGCAGTGGGTGAACAACAATGCTAGGTTGACGATACTTTTAATGCTGTTGGATCGAAGGGCTGTCATATGCTGTGCAGCACTACCGTTGGCTTTATTTCATTGTACAGGACTTGATATTGAGGGCTGAAATAATGGAAGCAGGGTTGATGTTGATCGACTTGAGTGGCACGCAGAAAGCCAACAGAGGCAGCTAATGGGGGCCGTGTGAGAGCTACAGGGGCTGGTGAGTCGAATCAGTTGTAATTAGGTGACATGAGCATTGCTTCCCATAGCTGGACTGTATTTCATTTGTTAGAGTTAAATATCATGAGACGATTCAATCTTGTCATGAGGTGAGGATGAAGTTGGTCGGATGAAAGAATAAGCGGGAGAAGCCGGTAGCTTGGTATCGGGTACCTGGCGCGGCTAGTACTGCAGGTGCTAAACGCTTGTAGAGCAACATTGCTACTCCAGTAGTGTGCTGCAGCTGGAAATTTGATGACCTCGAGATACGATTCAGACCCACAACGAACAAGACATACTAGTAGTGAGATTATATCGATGATAGTTACGGAGTACAAATCTGGAGCAAGCAGAGTTCGGAAAGTCTCGGGGTTGCTGAATGCGGCTGTTGGAGAATTGGGGAAGCCTCGGCTGCTGCTCGGTAGGTATGGGGAGGGTACAACAAGAACGTTTTATCCCTTGGGATTTTGGGGTAGAAGACCGGGCTAGGAAGCCATGGGCTGATGGGAAGATTGAAAGGGTGCTTTTTTTGCCACCCGGGTTGAAGAAGAGTGAGTGAATGAATGGTTGTGTTACCGAGGGGGATGGTTAATTGTGGGATGACGGGTGAATGAAATATATATGTACTCTCAACTGTATTAGTATAGCTACCTAGTAGTATGAAGCAAATATCCATTGAGAGTGATAGATGTGATGATGTTTATCTACGGCAATGCGTCATTGGGATCCAACGATGCTCTAATACCGTAGTTCCGGATATGGACCAGCTTGGGGCGTAACAGCATCTTGTGAACTTGGCCGTAGTCTCAGTCCCTCGGCAAAAATGAATCAGCTCTGCCAATCTTCGCACGGAGAAAGCTTGCCTTTACATAGTGCCGTGGCTATCGATAAAGCTTCCCACATGGCTAACTCGACGGCATCAAATGGATCCAAAAGTGCCGTCTGTTCTGCTGGCGTCCGGCCGGACATTGTACTCGGTACTTGTCGGTGGTTACCCCGCAGCGTCTCTCGGGCTGCTCTCAGCACGCAAAACTGGCGCTGCGGCGTCTGAGCACATGCTTTAGCGCAAGAGGCTTCCCCCCGCCCTCCAGGTACCCGGTACAAAGGCCCATTCCGTCCACCCGAGGCCCCAAGCCAGACCGACAGGTGCCGAAGTGCCCCAGAAACCGGCTGACGGCCCAGCAAGTTTCAATGGCAAAAGGGTGAATGGAGCAAGAAACGAGAATGGGCAAACGGGGTTGGGCCTTTTGCCTTCTGAGCTTACCTAGTAGGAGGTCCCTCTATTGATCCTAGTCTCGAAATCTGTAGTGCCGATGCAAGTTGATAGAGCAAGCAGAGGCTAATCTTTCTGCCGACATGGCGGCCTGGATGCGTCATACCTCATACACGGGGCATTGGCAGAAACCTTTTTTCGATAAAGCTATATCAGCCATGGTTCGCTGTGTTTTCCCCCCTTCTTTTCGTTTCTTATCTTGATTCTTCATTTTATGATCCAATTCCCTCTTCGTGACGTGTGAATCCCATCACTCACAGACCAGAGCATCTTCGAATTATCTTGTAAGCCACCACTGATCACAAGCTGTCCAACCCCAATTCCGGAAAGTTTGGAGCTTGCCGCGAACAACCGTCACTGACACGTGAAAGTTTGCCTATGCATTAAACCCATTGCCCGCCATTGAACTCATTATTGGCCTTTTTCTCTGAGCTTATCCTCAAACAAAGCATCTTTCTCTCATCATCCTCTCATCAAACACCCTCTTGGCATCCTTCTCCTGCCAACCTCACCCATATCACCACATAACCAATCCAACCCGGCATCTCCATTCTCAACCCAATTTCTCTCTCCACAACCTTCACAATGGCTTCCACAGAAAGCATCCTCCAAGGAGTCACCCTCCTCGGCAAGATTGACGACTCTCAGCGCAAGATCCTCACACCCCCTGCCCTGGCCTTCCTTGCTCTCCTACATCGCTCCTTCAACGCCACCCGCAAGAACCTGCTTGAGCGCCGAAAGATCCGCCAGGCTGAGCTGGATCGCGGCGTTCTTCCTGATTTCCTGCCCGAGACCAAGCACATCCGCGAGAATGCCACATGGAAGGGAGCAGCGCCCGCGCCTGGTCTGGTTGACCGACGCGTTGAAATCACGGGCCCGACTGACCGAAAGATGGTCGTCAATGCTCTGAACTCTGATGTCTGGACGTATATGGCTGATTTTGAAGGTGAGATTCTCATCCAGAGGTAATTGAGTGACGTTAATAGCTAACGTTGATGGCAAAACTACAGACTCCAGTGCCCCTACATGGGACAACATGATCAATGGCCAGGTCAACCTGTACGACGCTGTCCGCCGCCAGGTTGACTTCAAGCAGGGTGCCAAAGAATACAAGCTCCGAACTGACCGCAAGCTCCCCACCCTGATTGTCCGTCCCCGAGGCTGGCACCTTGAGGAGAAGCACTTCCTCGTTGATGGCGAGCCCATCTCCGGCAGTCTCTTCGACTTTGGTCTGTACTTCTTCCACAACGCCGTCGAGGCAACGAAGCAGGGCTTCGGACCGTACTTTTACCTGCCGAAGATGGAGAGCCACCTCGAGGCTCGTCTGTGGAACGACGCATTCAACCTGGCCCAGGACTACATTGCCATTCCTCGTGGCACCATCCGAGGCACTGTCTTGATTGAGACCATTCTTGCTGCCTTTGAGATGGACGAGATCATCTATGAGCTCCGTGAGCACAGCTCTGGTCTCAACTGCGGTCGCTGGGATTACATCTTCAGCACTATCAAGAAGTTCCGCAACAACCCCAACTTTGTGCTCCCCGACCGATCTGCCGTTACAATGACTGTTCCCTTCATGGACGCCTACGTCAAGCTCCTCATTCAAACCTGCCACAAGCGCGGTGTCCACGCCATGGGTGGCATGGCCGCCCAGATCCCCATCAAGGACGACAAGGAGGCGAATGACAAGGCTATGGAGAACGTCCGCGCCGACAAGCTGCGCGAGGTCCGTGCCGGCCATGACGGCACATGGGTCGCTCACCCTGCTCTCGCCAGCATCGCCACCGAAATCTTCAACAAGTACATGCCTACTCCTAACCAGCTGTTCGTCCGCCGCGAGGACGTCAAGATTAGCCAGAACGACTTGCTCAACATGAACGTTCCCGGAAGCATCACCGAGGAGGGCATCAAGAAGAACCTCAACATTGGTCTGGGCTACATGGAGGCCTGGATCCGAGGAGTTGGCTGCGTCCCCATCAACTACCTCATGTAAGTCATATACAAACCCGCATCATACCAATCCATGAAACATGATTGCTAATAGTTCAAAAATAGGGAGGATGCCGCCACGGCTGAAGTCTCCCGAAGCCAGCTCTGGCAATGGGTCAAGCACGGCGTCTCAACCGCCGAGGGCAAGCGCGTCGACAAGGCCTACGCCCTCAAGCTCCTCAAGGAGTGCACCGAGGGGCTTGCCGCAAAGGCTCCTCAGGGCAACAAGTTCCATCTCGCTGCCCAGTACTTTTCTACACAGGTCACTGGTGAAGATTATGCTGATTTCCTGACGACGTGAGTTTCCTTCCTGATTATCACTGGATTTGTTACTTTGGTGACTGACTTTTTGGGATAGACTTCTTTATGATGAGATTACAAAGCCTGGTTCTCCTTCGCCGGCATCTAAGCTGTAATTGTTAGGTTGGGTGTGACATGTTTTATTAAGTGTAACGATAGTATGAAATAAGTCTAATTAAAAGCGTTTATTTATTCCAATCATATCTTATTTGTCTGTACAAAACGCTTCGCATTCTCTCTGATTCTCCATCTCCTTTTCTCTTCGTCTTACTCAGCATGTCTTCTATTCAAGCTATATCTTCTTTCTTGGTACCCGTGACGTCCACTGGTATCTCTCCATCTCGCACCCTTCTCTCCATGTTGTTGAGGACGGAAATGTACCCGGTACTCACGCTCAGCAATGTCGATAAGAGTGAGGGAGCGGTGAGAAGAACCGATCTCGACTTGGCTACATCTCGTCACGATACTCTTTCTCGTGCCGGTGCTTCTCTTCGGCAGCTTCCTCTTCCTGCTTGCCGAATGTACGTTCGAATTCCTCTAATAGGCGCCTCATGCGACGCTCCTCATCTCCACTAGAATCCCTTTCAAGCCGTCTTTTTCTCTCGGCAGCTTCAGCAGCATCCTCCTCCTCCATAAAGCGTCTAAGCGCGAATTTATTCGATACGCGCCTCTCAATCTCGGCGTTGGACTCGCGCTCCTTAATAGCATCAAGCTGTTTCTGTAAATCACGAAGCTCAGCCTCATCGCGGAACTCCCCTTCAAGCCGTCGCATCTTCTCGGCAGCGTCGGCGGCATCTTTCTCCAAAGGACTAGGGAGTTTGAAAAGTGTAAAGCAGGGTGGTGAGGCTCAGGTTGGCCACGCTCTAGCTTCTCTCCTCAGGCTTGGGACCTAGTCATCTTGCTTCTAGCTGGCGTTTGCGCTCCATCTTGGCGTAATGGAGACCACAGTCATTGCATAAAGTCCTGTCACCATCAGGACCCCGTCTCCATTGTGGAGTGTCGATGCGGTTGCAGCTGTGGCATCGTCCAGGAGGGGCAGCGCTCTGTTACTCTATTAGCGGGGCTTATTTATACAAGATTAGCTGTAAGCTTACGCCTCGTCGCTTTTTGAATTCTGGTATGCCATATGGTGGCTTAATTGAGTCACCGTACATGGGGACTTCTTGGACTTCCTCCTTAAAATGCTCCCCAAGATGCTCTTCAAGCCGTTTTGATTCCTCGGTAGCGTCCTCATACTCACTGTGATCGTGTGGACGAGGTACAATGGTATCTGAGCCGGGCAGCTCGACGGCACGAAGCGCAGATATAGGGCTTGTTTCTATGGGACCCTCGCCGTGAAAAGTTGACAGACTACCATATCTCTGGCGAACGTTGTTGACGCCTACTCCCCTGGCTTGGTCTCTCAGTGAGTCTGTCTCAGCCATATGTCGCTGTAGTAATGATGGCTTAAAGAAATCCTCATCAACCCCCGCGAAAGTGGAGAATTCCTCCTCCACAAAGCGCTCACTTTGGCGGGTGCTGGGTCGACTATGATCTTCTTCTCCTGTTGTGCGAATTTGTTCAGAGCTTTCGAATTGTTCCTGGTGACTTTCAGGTCGCTGTGAATCACCAGGATGCTCACCCTTAGGACTGGCGGGAGTTATGGAAGTTGATCTCTTCAAGCTACTATCACCAGTGTCCGACGGTGGAGGAAGCCGACCAGGGCTCGAGATGTCTGCATCCAGGTCTTCTTCATCTTCACCAAAGAAGAATCTATCAATCAGCGTAGAAGGAGGAAGGGTTTCCTGCTGGAATGAGAGGGACAACAGAGGGCTGCCGGCGCCGGCGCCGGCGCTGTGCCTCATAGCTGAGTCCTGAGAATCTGGATGAGAATCTGGACTGTCTTCCCGGTATTTGAGGGTCGTAGATGGAAACATGGCAATGTTCTTGCCTTTGGCAAAAGAAACCTTCTTGCCGGACAGATTCATGCTGTTCATCTGAGCCTGTTCCATGTTTCCTTCATCTGCACCCTTGTAAAGATGAGGTGCCATGTCGACCTCAACGTGGTTGCCCAGGAAATCCATGGCGTTGGGGGCCTCGAGGGACTGGTCATCACCAGGAATATGGGAGGGGATGCTAGAATTATTCATCTGCTCCTCAGGGTTGGGAGAGGTTCCGGACCTCCTTGCCTGGGGCGAGGTATCTGGGAACGGCTGTCCATCAAATCCTGCGGGGACGCTAGGCTGGCCATCTCGAGGGATTCCCTCCATCTCGCTTTGCTCCTGACGGGCCCTCATGAGGCGCTTTTTATTCGCCTGTTCAAGTAGTTCCAACTGCATATTATAGTCCATCAGCGGGTGCGTACTCTCTATGTTGCCTTCGTCTGGTTCCTCGTTCTCCCAGCTGTCGCCTCCGCGAGACTCTTGATGATGGTTGCTAAACGCGTCTCAATATCAGAATCGTCGTCGCCGCCGTCGCTATCATCATCATATAACGTTTTAGGCAAAACAAAAAGGGCAAGGCGCTCGAGATTATCACCGACGTGCGATTGATAGCTTTTGTCAGATTTGATCTCGTAATCAAAGCAGAAAGGACATATGCCAACCGTATTTGTATCGTTTGGAAAGCGGCATAAATTCAGAACGGCCTGTAAGTCAATGGACTCGAAGTTTTGCCCATGGATTGTTGTGACGTGTTCCTCAAAGCTTTCCTGGCTACGAAACGATTTAGAACATCCAAACGAGCAAGACCAGGAGACCCAGTGTTCTTGTTTCATATGTGCCACCCAGTCTTTACGACGCTGATATACTTGACTTGGAGACGAGCAATTGTCGAATAAGCACACGTAGGGTTGAAGGTCCCTGAACACATGTTTCCTAATTTACGTCACAATGGTTAACCTCGGTGCTTTCAGAATAGGCGGAAACTTGGAAGATCAATACACATACTTCCAGGAATTTCTATCGTTAATGATTATTAACGTATGGCATATAGGGCACAAAAATGGCCCGTCGATATACTCTCTTGGTATACTGGGCACTCGTAGCTCATTGTTGGCAGCAATCGAATTCGCATACGATGTTCCTGAAACTTCAGACATGTTGTCCAAGAGTGCATCCATTTTAGTAAAAATTGCAGTGTTCTCCTCGTCTTTTAGCTTTTTCGGAATTGAAGACGCAATAGTTGTTGCGTTTTCACCCTCACCAGGCTCGTCCAACAGCCCATGTGCAAGTTTCTTGCTGTGTTCTTCTCGGTATTTGATGTATTGGCGGCGGCGAGACATGGCCATAGCTAGTCTATCAACAAGTTTACCATCAAGCCGGTCGAACTTTTCGCGTATATGCTTCATGTCCCACTCGCTGTAAGAAGAAACAGTATCTGCTCCAGCTCTGGAGTTGAATTGGTCATGACGCGCTGGATTTCGGATCGTGATTGATAGTCTCAGCAAGCAATCGATAATATGCCCGATGTCGCCAAGAATGTTTGTAATTTCAGATTGCTCGTCGGCATCATCTGACTGGAAATATAGTTCCAAGTCCAAGTCTGCATCGTCCAAAGCTTTCTTGTCGTCGCTTTCTGTATTCGCCAACTCAATTCCTGCAAGAAATTAATTTTCATGTGAGATCATGGCTTAAATAGAGATGATCTACCTTCATCAATAGAGGAAACAAGCTCTTGAAGCAGGGAGATTATGTGATTGCGCACAAAGGACGAATCACGAAGACGATATTCCAGTGACCGACCTCCAGACGACCGATGTGCTCCCAAGCTACCTGCCCACAGCCTAAATCTGGCCAAATGCGAACGAGTTGTGGAACATTCGGCCTGACTTGATGACAAGGACTCACTGAATGTTTCGAATAAAGCAAGACAGCGATTTACGAGCGGCGCAATTTTGGGCTCCATTGCGCTTAAGATCCAACACTAGAATACGTTTGTGAATTTTATCTAGCAAATGTCGATGATGTCGAATGTTGAGGCATAAAGACCACCCTCGCAAATTCACGTAACCTACAGTTCGCTTGCTATTCGTTAATTCATGCATGGGTCAGGCATAATCGACACTCGATTGGGCGCCGAAATAATCTCCATCTGAGCACTGCGGGGTTACCCGCAGAGCCTCGCATCAACCCAGAGATAGTCAGCCGTACCGTTGTGAACAAAGCTTTCACGCGGCTCTGCGTTGACCAGACCAATCCGTCATCATGTCCGGCTTAGAGGTTCTGGGGGCCATCACGGGTGTGTTGGGCGTGTTACCAGTTGCTGTAGACGCACTCAAAACTTATAAAAACATCATATCGTCGATAAGGAACGCGGCGCGCGATCTGGCAAGCTTGATTCGAGATCTGGAGACTGAGCAGGTCCGCTTGCAGACGACCTGTGAAGTTCTCCTCGAAGGAATCGCGCCATTCTCCATGATTGACGATATGACTAAAGACCCTTTTGGTGCCACTTGGGAGAAGTACAGCCACCTATTACGCCTACGGCTTTGGGAATCAGAGAGGGAGTTTAAAAACTATACTCTAGACATGCGCGACGCAGCCATGGAATTGAGGGAAAAGCTGTGTATATACGGTGATGGCAGTGTAAGTGCATGTCGAGCCCAAGTTCATCTCACAAGCTAACTTGGCATTTACAATGTTTGCCAGTCTAGACCAACAGATAAGCTCTCTATCATCAGAGAACTCAAGAAGGGAGCATCATTTACGTTGAATAAGAAGGATTACATCGACATTGTATCGCGGATCAAGAGAGGGAACCTGGCCTTGTCTGAACTTGCTAGTAAAAGCCGGGGACTCGAGCCAACCAGGCAAAAACGGTCCCAGACTCGACTGATTAGACTCATTCGAGGGCTTTCCAACGGGATTTTCAACGCCATTCGCAACGCTACAACCTGTGCCTGTGTTGCACCACATCGAGTGTGTCTTGAACTCGCACCAAGGGATGCAATTTTGATTCCCAGCGACGTCGATGATGTCGTTGCGCAAAGCCTCAAGTTTCACGTTGCCTTCGGCTCTGATATTAGTATTGGGAACAAAGACACAGAAGAAGCCTACAATCTTATGAAAGGGCAATTGATGAATCGTTGGAATAACATCTACTTCCGATTAGGAAGTTTTGAGTGTAACAAAACACCGACTCTCTCTCCTTCGCCAAGCACCATTACAGCAAGCACCATTGCAGTGCCCCCCAACACCACCAAAGTCGCCAAGGTTTGTATCATGGCACCGCAACGATAAATCTCTAGGGAAAATAGATGTACAAGCGACGATCTCTCCAGTGAATGCGCCATGTCAGCAGGTAACAGACCTCTGCCGGATGCTCATTGGGAAAAACAAGCAGCCATTCCTGGATTGCTTTGGTTACATAGCTGATACTCCCCGGACCTTTGGCATATACCCTCCAACTTTATATCTGGATGGCTGTGCAATATTGACGCTGAGGGAGCTATTAGAAGGGAAGCAGTCAAAGGTTGCTCGATTCGACTATCCGGAAAAACTAAAGGTAGCACACGCAATCGCAGTCAATACTCTCCATCTTCACAGCACTCAGTGGGTTGAAGAAAGCCTGACTCTCGACAATGTCATCTTCTTCTTGCCCAGCAGCGACGACGACGCTGATATTGTATCCTTGGCTCGCCCATTTGTGGTCAGGAACCTCTTGACTCCGTACAACAAGCAAATCACTTCTTCAAACACATCGCGGCCAGTCAACCTGGCAGTCTTCTCTCTCGGAGCTCTACTCGTCCAAGTCATGATCGGGAGGGTGGAAAGCGCCCTAGAAATGGCGGGGATGATGGACGTCCGTACGGTTCTCTCAAAGCGAGATGCTGGGAAGCGACTGTTTGACCAACTTCTGGAGAGCGGAGGTGCCAACTATAAGTCGGCCGTGGAATGGTGTTTTGACAGTGTGCTTCACGTGGCTGGCTTGCAGAATGATAAGTGCTGCCAGCAGTTTTTCCAGGAGGTGGTGTCGAGGCTTGAAGAAGACGTTCAGCTTCTTTCTGAGAATTAATTGTACTTAATTTGGCCAATAGGACTGGCTCTCGCTGTGTATATAGACCAAATACATTTTTGAAATACATACGAGTCGCGAGTCTTTTGACGATGCTACGTACGACCAGGCAATAATTGTTTGGTGCCACCTCGAGGAGGAAGTATTACGTAGAGGGTAAGAGTTGTCTAATTACATATACAGGGACTCTCATTCTCTCCCATTGTTAAAGACTTTCTGAGTTGACACGTTAAGTTGTGAAAAGGATTGATGAAGCTCGGGTGAGCAAAACTACCCTACATGAAGAAGGTTGAGTTCTCTTTCCCACTGGGATAAATAAAAGAACCAGACGATTTATTTGTCTTGGTAGTTTCTAGCTGCGCACACTAAATCAAACAAATTCCTCTCCCGTTTGATTCATAGGTGTGCTTCCCAGTTGTTCATAAACCAGCCGGCCAAAAGGAAGGATCGGCATCATCAGTATCGAAGCTGTCTACGATTTACAACAGCAAACGACAGGCGGCAGGTTGCACATTTTTTTTTTCGATCAACCATGCAAATCACCGCTTCTACAATATACAGAAAACTCCGGCGTACTGCGTACAAACAATTGAAGGCAGCGGGAGTAACATACAACGGTCCGCCCGTCCGATCCCGTACCGACAGTCCCGAACCCGATGTCGGACACAGAGTCCGGCGTCCGGTCCGGAGCCCCCAGAGGTAATATTGAACTGCAGAATAAAAATTCGATAAATTTCGACAGACATCCGGAGATGTGGAATTATTGCCTCGACTCCATTCACCAGGCCATCAGGCCGCCATTCTTCAATAACGGACAGTCGCCGCCTTGACTAATGGGTTGCACCGTCGAAGAGCACCTGGCGATATCCACTCGTTCATGGCCAGGCGTCTTTTCGCCTTCTCCCAGCCTTGGCCGTGGAGGGCGCCTTTGGTCCTGTTTTGTCCTGTTTTAACTAATAAAGGGCGGAAAACCCGCCGCTTCAGCTATTGTCCGCCTAACCAACTGCCTCGGCTAGCATATTTCCGCGCTCGTTAGTCGCCATTCGTATTTGTGGTTCTGTTCTAGAATCAGGTACTCGTAGCAGCTAGTGAGAGGAGAGAGAAAAAACGAGTTGTTTGTTCGTATCGGCTGAGGTTCAGCTCAGCTCAGCCGACCTTTCCCACTCGGTACTCTCACCAGACCCAGACCCGTCATTAACTCACGGACGTGCACCACCGAACAAACGGCTGAAGTCTCCAGTTTTCCATGCCGAGCCCATCAGACGGCACCAAGTTGGACCGACTAGGATTGTGTCTCTGAGCCACGCGCTGGTTGACTCGTTACCTTGCTTGTTTGGGTAAGAAGCTGATTGCAGATGTAGCCGAGGGCGGCTAACTCGATGAAGCATCTTCATCCAGCCAAGAAATCGCCCAATGCTTGTGGTGTTGACGAGTTGTTTGCCCTTATTTGCCCAGGTGGTTAAGGGCAGGCAAAATGCATTCCCGCAGGACCATCTAGTATGCACAGCGCGAATTTGGCTGTTCTGAGACGAGCTTCGGGTGTGTCAAACCAACGCCAGATGAGCAGGGCTGCGGCCGCGTACTTCCGGTGGAGGAGACTTGGACGCCATCCCGCTCGTTCCCCGGCTTCCCGGGTGTCGGCGCTTGCAAGTCTGCTTACAACCTGGTCGACTGGTAGTTGGCCTAGCTCTGGCACGGAGCAGTACCCACTGGCAGGCGCAGGAAGCACTCCGTACTGTAAGTTTCACCGGTCATAATGGAGTCCTTCTGTCCATTTTGTCTTGAAAGGACAGGAGACCTGCATGCTCCGTATGCTTCTCTGGGGACCACGTTGTCCTTGCTTCATTCGTCCATCAGTCCGTAGCTGCTCGGAATATGGTCCCAAAATCCTCCTCGTCGCCGAGCTCTCCTAAGCGCCGTGCGCTGCTGACATCGGTCGGTCCAGCCCTATCGCAATATTACTGGTATACGATCTTGTATCTTGGCAACGCCGGTCTGTCTTTGTCGGATCACTATCTTCCTTCAGGGGCCTGCGGCGGCTGCTGAGCTCCGTTCACGCTAATGCCTCGCTGAAAAGGAGAGAGGGGCTAGAGGAATAGAGCATATTCCTGACGGCTCCTCCAGAGAAAACTAGAGGTCATCCTTGTCCTCCATATACATACTCCCCTAGCTATCACTACCCTTGTCGTTTTCATGCTTTAGCGGGGTGGCTGCTGCGCCGGCGAGGAATAAAGGAAACAGGGGGTGAAAGGGGTACACACTTGCGCCAAGTACGAGGAGGACCAACACTCCACATGCACGTCGTACAAGGTGGTGGTGGTATTGTGCGAGGGGCACCAGGTACAGTATACTGCGAGTTCCGTATCACCTTGACTGCATGTGATCGGTACGATAAAATGTGACGGTATGTTGCTCACGATGTCAGAGACGAATGCTGCCGTCTCGCCCGGTATTATCTTCATTGCTTCCTCGCGTAGCCGAGCCTGAGCTTCCCAGAAGCATCGCTAACGAATCTTTACCCTTCATGAGTACGAGTATGGAGCACATCGTGGCGCTCGTAGCCTCAGATCCTCGCGTGGCATGGCCTACCCCCTGTCTTGGGTCTCTTAGTACGTGGGGATCCTGTACACCAGAAAGTTTCGTATCTGGGCGTCAGGTCTTCGTGTTCGCGCCACCATGCGAAGTCTACCTGTACAACCTTAATCAGCGTAAGAAACGTTATTGATGGTCCAAAGTCTACTCCCCAGGTTGGCCTTGATCCAGCGTCTAATTGATGCGAGTCGACGTAAGACCTGCATTCGTATCTGGTGTGTGCTCTGCTAGTGTTGTTTAAGATTATATCCAATCAATGTCCCGACAGTTTGGTACAGAGCCACGACAATCCTGTAGGGATTCCGCAGTGCTTACCTACGAAAGCTTGCTCTCATGAATCTCCCTTAGACCAAGCACAGGACTTATGCTGACGCTTGATTCCCAATAGAGCCTGGTGTGTATTGCTCTGCAAGGGCGATGTTATGTGGACTGAGAAATAGTTGGTATTTTGAGTATCAAATCGCGTCACAATGCGTCAACCCTTTCTTTGATCCCACCAGAGCAGCTAGCTTGTGTGGTAGATCTTACTTGTAACCATACCATGCCTTGGCGAAATAGGTTCATTTAAGGCTGCAGCCGGTGAATGTTCATTGTCAGCCCAATTGGTGCCAATTAATGATCCATCTCTCCTAACCTTTATACCATGCATATTTGTCTGCTTATTTTGGCACCCGTGGTCTCTTTTCTTTCTCATTTATGGCTCCCCTTGGTAGTCTGATGAAAATTCCTGCTGTAGAGTCGAGTCAAACTTCAGGGGAGGTGGTAAGCCGGTTGTTTGTTGGATCTGGCTTCAGGAATGACCAATTAGCACGCATGGCTGATGACTTTGGAAGGGCATAGAATGTACTTCAAGAACGCAGATTCATAGAGCTCTGCTCTATTTGATCCCATAGTCATCATCTCTGAATCTACCGTCTTTGTTGCACGACATGATCTTGCTTTGTTCCGAGTCAACAATTTAGGAGGAGTAGGTTCTCCGAGCGTTAATGGAACAAGTTTGTGGAAAGAGCGATATAAACTAGGACGAAATCAGCAATGACGTTCATGTTCTGAATTAACAAAAAAAAATGAAGTAGCCTCACACAGGGGGATGCCTCATAGTACTGAATCAGCCGGGTCTTTCCGTGAAGGATGTTGAGTTGATGTCCCACCGCGGCCATATCCAATGCTGCTTGACTGTTTCTGCGAATGCGCTAATTTGGGTATCGTGTTTGCCAGATTTCTAACAACGCTATAGCGAGTGTAGAGGCGGTAGAAACAACCTGTCTATTTGAGGCTAAAGGGTCGGCCGAAGCTGTCTATCTGGCCTCTGTAAAAGTATCATTTGGGATACCGATATCTCGAAAGCCGATCTCCATTCCGTAATCGCATAAGAGCTGCCAGAGCTGCCAAAGAACCGATCAGTATTTCGTGCTCTGTATTCTGGCGCCGCTCACAAGAAAGATTCACCTGATCCAGATGCCAATCAATATGTACGTTAGCAAGCTTTCATGATACGCGTGCGACATATCGACAGGGCTATATTCAATGGAGGCATACCTAAGTACCCAATGTTGCTCAACTGCTGTCACTGTAGTATTGGCAGATGTTGAAAAGCTCTGGAATTCTAACCCATTGCTCTCTTGAAACCGGCTTTTTGGTTCTTTTGCAGCCGCATTCGTGTTGTATGAAGATGTCAGAATCGTTTTACCGTACCTTCCCGTTCGACTTATCGGGCTATCTACGAAGTACTTGTATCAGTAACACTTTCCGTCAAATCGATAGCAGCAGTTCCTTCCGCCAACTCCTCCAAGCTATTTTACTATCCATCTTCCCTTCTACATCATAAAAATTACATGCATTCTTCCTCGTCAATTGCAATAGTTGGCACATGCCTATGTGCTTGTTACTTTCTCCCACTTTACAGCTCATCTCTGAATGGCTTGCATATTTCATTATTGTGACCTATCTCAAAAAGAAATTGCATGGATCTTTCGATATTGGTGGATCGTCGTAGTGGCGCCTTCACAACCCCAGATGCTAGGAACGCCATTCCGTCTTTCGCCTTGGCTTCTGACAGTGGCGCTGGGTTTCCGAAGCCTCTCAACACTAACGGAGGGGTCTGTTCAGGGTTCAGCGCGGCAGGATGCAAACCACTCCACTCGGAATCATGGTGCCCGTGACAGACCGGGGAGAGATCCTTCTGCGATGCAGACGCGTCCATCGACGGTGGTTTCGCCCAATCAACATACATACTTGGACTCCCGGGATGAGCTTCAGCATCCGAAATGCTACTCTACAGGTACAAGCATACCAACTTTCCCCTCAGCCAGAGAGTGGCCGTCCAACCGCGTCAGTCCATCTTGACTGCTGACAAGGAAGTCGGAGCTAGCGATACTGACCCCTGCACCATCCCTTGCAACCGCAACAACCTTGTTTAACGCCATGCAGAATGGGTGGAATTTGCGCCACGATGAGGTCCCGTCGACAGCCGAATCTCCATTGCAGACGGTGGCGATGAGAAAGGGTCTAAAGCTCCGCGTGGATGCAGTACTCCTTGGCTTAAGATGCCTGGACCGTGATAGCTGCAGACAAGTCTTGCCGGAAGTGCTGGGTAGTGGGGTTTATTGCCCATTGACTGGACAAGTCCGGACCCAGCCTGTGTTGCACTGTCTACGAGTACTCCGTACGGACAACCATTTTCAAACGGATGGATACTGAAAGGCCATTGCCGATGGAGGATGCGATGTACTCGTATTGTCATGTTCCGACCCAGCCGAACTCCGAGAGAAATTTCCAGCCGACCATCACGCGGCAAATCCTCCTAACGTCGCCCGTTTTTGCACGGCTTCAGCTCTTTTTCGCGCTATTGTGGACTCGTCTATTCTCTCAGTAAAACTTCGCCATCCACCAGCGTTAAACCTCATTGGTGTCTAGGCACACACCTATCAGAAGACGAGCCCAAGTAGAGGACAGAAAAGCCGAGACAGGTTAAGATTTCGAACACCCACAAGTTAAACCATACACCTATAAGAGGAGTAGCTGCTATATCTACATTTCCCTACTATATTTATATTTCTCTAGTAACTGCTACTATATCTATGTTTTCCTAGTAATTACTCTTATATTGATATTTTTCTAATAACTGTTATTATAGTTATATTTTGCTACTATATTTATATAATATAGTTCGGGTGCTGGCTGGATAAGTGTTCTACGAGTTGCCGAGGTGCTCATATTACTGAATGTATGTGCATATTCATTCTGCGGTCTCGCTTTTTCTGACCTTTGCTTGCAGCCTTCCCAGAAAAATGGGGAAAGCTGCATTGTGACAGTCTGAAGGAAATATGGCGCACAAGAGCTTGACTTTTGCTTCGAGTCATATGGTTGCTAACGAAACAATCGTCCACAAGTTTGATAATCGACTGTTTTACTATGGAATCATAAGCGGCCTCGTCAATGAGGGCCATGGCATCATCTTCTTCCAGAGATTTGAGGCGGGCAAAGCCAGCTATCAGCAGAACCGGACAAGAGCTTCACCTAGCCACGGAGTTTTCTGAGTGTGGTATACAATCTAGGATCGATTATTGTCCACTAGAAACGCTTCAAACCTGCTCTCGAGTGCTGAGTGAGAATTGCGATGTGTTTCAACAGCCTAGCTAGATAGTACGCGAGTCATTCATGGTCGACATCCGCCTTGGTGTCAAATCCCTTGGAGCCAATCAACTGCCTGGATAATACTACGAGAAGGATCGCGTAGACAAAGCACGTCTCCAATATATCACCCTAATCTATCCGCGGATGTTGGATGAGGCATCGTGTGTGCGACCACTACCCAGGCGCCAATTTAGAGGCGCCGGCAGCCGACAAGCACACGCGGAGGTGGGGATGCGGCGCAGGTGGTGATTCCTGAAATACGGAACAGTTGACCTGGTAGAACTCGCGGAGGATTTGCCTGGCGAAGCCTCCACATTTGGGTTCTCGCTAACAGCACACGATGTTTTGAGTTATGTCAGCGTGGTGTCCTGGATGTCTTGTCATTACGAGCAGTAATCTGTACCCGAAATTGTCTTACCGAGATGTTGGTGTATGTTGGAAGTATGGAGCAACGAGCCTCGAACCACTGGCATGACATGAAAGCCACTATTGAACAATAATACTCCATACTCTATACGGAGTACAAAGGTCAGGGCAAGTGGGAAGACGTGGAGATGGTTGTCATGGACAGACTGGGGCGGTCCATGGAGCAGATCATTCTGGGCCATGCTAATTGGGCGCATGGCCTCGATAGCTGAATGCGCTAACTCGGATGTCTGGCAGGGATGTCGAGCCTCTGCAGACGGCAATGAAAAGGGTTTTGACAAAGCACAACCTTTGAAACCTGACAGAGGCCGGGCAGGGAGAAAGGGGAAGCATTACTCCGTACAACACTTCAGAGATACAACCATATCGTCGGATCTCAGACTATGAATTCTGGCAAAAAAAAAAAAAAAAGGTCATTGCCGGCCGATCAACAAGCCATATATACCTGTGCCGACATCCAAACGCCAAGTCAAGGACCTGCGTGCTTGTACCCAGGCGGCACGGAAGCTGTCTGAAAGAGCACCATCCCAGACACTGGGTCGGCATGGCTGAGCCTTTCCATGATGGCTGCGGCTGGCGCTGGGAATCAGGCCCGGGTTGCCACGGGGCCATGGACCGGGGGAGTGGGGTCTGAGAGGGGTGGATGGATTGTCAGCCCGTGCGCGCGCGCTCTCACCAGCAGTGCAGACTCTTCCGTGGGCACCAGAATCAATCTGTCAAGATCTTACCTTTGCTGATTCCCTGGCTTGCTATGATACGTCCAGGCGAGAGGACGTAAGCAAATGGGCCAAGCTAAACTTTTTTGTTCGAATATTCTGTGCCAAGTGTGAGTAATCCGAACAGAGTTCAGGTACTGCTACTACGGTGGTGCTTCATACAAAGGGTTCTGACAATGGGGTACATGTCCGGTGGCCCCGGCAAAGGAGAAGTCTTTTGTTAGTGGCAGTCATTTGTCTGCCCGCACCACCACCAACACATGACGTGATACTCACAGCGCCTGGAATAACAATGGGCATGGGGGCACTCCTTACTGGCAGGTACTGGGCTGGCATGTCTACCCAACAAGAATCTTCAACCATCTGAACGGTGGTGGGACCCCTAACGATGTCCCAAGTTCACATGGGTTAGCTAATGCGCGGCCGTTGCCAAGTTTTGACTGCTAGCTGTCAAATTCTTGTTAGCTGGTTCAATAGCAAGTGTTGGGGCAAGGAAGAGGATTCAGCTTTGTGACCCAGTCTGTACCAGGCTCGATACTGGACATCTCGTACAAAGCAGCACGCGCTCACTTCCGCGGGAATGGACGGGTCTGCTCGCCACAGAGGACACGGTTGTATCGATACGTCCAAAGATAGAGAGGGCTCATTTAGCGAACGGTATGGCTAAAGGGAAACGGGTCCGCTAAGCGCAACTGATGCAGAGCAGGAACAGATCCTAGTTTGCAGTGTGGATACGTGGCGGCGTCTGCCTCCTGTAGTGAATAACGGGGGAACAGGGAGGTAGATGCTGCTCTGCAACTCTCGTCAAGTACATGGAGGCGCTGTCCACGATCTAGGCGTCTAAGTGAGAATAATCTACGATCAAAGTACGAGTACTCCATACGGCAGTGGCACTACCGGCTACTCTGCCTCGATACAGAAATGACTCGCCACGGCGTTCCAGGACAGCCAATGTAATGTTTTTGAGCATCAAATCTGGCAGGTGGTTGACCAGGGGCGACATTTGGCTGCAACGACAAGCTGCAGAAGCTGGTTATGGAGTTAGCAGGCCAGGCTGTCAAGCAAGAAGCGTCGCACAACAGGGGATTCCATCGATTGGGGCCGCAGTCCTCTATGTCGGCGAACGAGCTGGCTGCTCCGTACCGTAAGGGTTAATGCAGGAGGCAATTGTCCCCGTTTTTGTGTGATTGCAAGTCGCCCGTTTGGGTGTGAGGAATTCCACTCCTACAGGTGTCCGGTGTTTGTCATACAGAGCACGTCGAGTTCAGCTCCATCAAAGGCATCTACCCATGACTCGATGAGGAAAGAAGAAGAGACACAGGCCTCGCCGGTCAGCTTCTGCGGCTAGTATATCACCTGAAATTTAAAAGGCGTGCTAAAATCCCGAAGAGCATACCTCGTACCAGTCTATTCGTCTGTACCGGTCCATGAGGCCTTTTTAGGGGTCCCTTACCCCATGCTTTGGCTTTTCAGCTCCCCATCAAACAGATGTACGGACATGACTAAGAAAAGGTGCGGCTTGCGGTTATACCTTGTACGCGGCACGCCATGATGGAGCATCTCAGCAATTTACTGCTACTACCTGCTACCACTGCTACGACTACCGCTGGTAGCGCTATATTGACGCTCAAGTGAGGGTCTGTCATGTCCTCTCACATGTGCTCGTACTTGTACTAATGGAATAATATGGAGTAGTTGGACAGGCAGTACAGTGCCTCTCTATTCTGATACCTTGGCACTCAGCACTCAGCATTAACCAAGCTTCAATTGTGGGCTCGAGAGTTCTAGACCATCTACTAAGGTTGCTTAGAGTTCTCCAACTGGTCATCGATTTAGTTTCATGGACGCAGACACGTCTTCCCAATTAATGACATTCCATCAAGGGTGCGGCGAGAGGAAACGAGAGTGAGGGCATGCGTATCAAGGAAGCGGTCATCTGTCTCTGCCGCATGACGCAAAACGCATGGTAATCTGGCGACGCAATATGCGGATGCATGTGTGAGCAGCAAAGGAGGAGAGGGACGACAATGCCACGGCCAAGTACAAGCAAGTACTCGTACTGCAGTACGGGAGTCATTGGAGCTAGGACCAGGTACTCCGAACTGGGGGAGGCGAAAACGGGAGATGCATAAAAATCGGAGCATTTACCTGGCCTCGGAGTAGAGGGTGCTTGTGAGCAGGCATTAGGCTTGGGACTGAATACCTGACCATGTAGGTATTGTTCCCATCCAGAGCCGCAAAGGGTATGGAGTGCGTCTGCGCTTCTGGCCTGATTGACTCTTGTGCTAGCTGAAGCATGCTTTCTCCTTTCCTGATTTGTCTTTGTCTCTCACATCACTTGCGTTGTGTTCCCAAGGGATATACGAGTACAGATGGAACAATACTGTCGGCTCTCTTGCCATGAATCACGATCGACCGGGCAGCTAAAAGGGAGGGGGGTATGACTTGGACACATCCTTATCAGACTTGCAGGTACGGAGGCGCATCATGCATATGCATGTACGCAGGCTGGAGAAACTTCCCCTTGGCGCTTTGAGGGAACATGAAAGGAGGAGGGGGGGCAAGAGGTGAGCTACTCGGTACTAGCAGGTTGTTGGATGAGATGGTGGTGGTGGAGGAGGAAGAGATGAGGAGGATAAAGCTTGAGGTGTGAGTGGATATATAAGATGAAGTACCGTGGTTGTAAGTGACGGGTACTCCGCACTCCGTACCGGCAGAGGTGAGATGCGTGCCTTTGCTGTGAGATTTCGAGATTGATTTTGCTGGGGATTGTATTGTCTTGGTATTATCTTGGAGACATGTTTCAAGGGCCTTTTTGAGCGTGTCGTGTCTGAGGAGCAGAGAATGTGAATGTGCTCTTCTCACTGTCGACTGGTGCCCTCGGCTTTGTAGGGCGTGTCTCAAAGGCAAGTACCTGTGCGTACAGCTGCGCGGTGGTCCCTGCGTGCTCTGCGTGTGGCACTGCCTTGTTTCCGCTGTCTTGTACGGGCCAAGTACAAGCAGTCGGGACCGGGCAAGACATTTTCTCGGAAGGCTCGCAATGCGTATGCGTGTCAGTGTGGGAATCTCCTTCGCGCTGGGCTCGATTCTCCACACAGCAGCATGTCTTAGCAGAGGTCTAATGGCCACAGGTACTGCATACTCGGAGACGCTACGCCGCTGCGCCCTGAGGCCAAAGTATCATATACGACACAGGACGAAGGTCGCGTCCTTGTAGATGCGCCGTACCGCACACTAACGCATTGGCCAAGGCAGAAGAGCGCTCGCGGCTGAGAAAACGGTGCATGTCCGAGCTGCCAGGCGGCATCCGGAAGAGCCAGGACGGCACCGTGTCATCTGGAAGGGAGCGCGCACGGAGTACCCCGCGTACGTAAGCCCCTGCATGCGGAAGTACGGCGAACCGTGAAGATGGGCACAGGTACCTTGGCGCCGATGCTCCGTGCGGGATTGTCTTTGTTGTCGCCAACGCCCGTCCGAAACATTCCATGACGCTTTCAGGGATTGGATCCGAGGCCAGGACCGTTTTTGTCTCTGAGCCACGCAAAAGGATAGGCGATTTACACATGATTCAAGAGCGGCCGTTTATTACGAATCTGTGCTTCTACGGTCCAACGGCAGCAAGGCCACCAAGGTACGAGTACGGTGCAGTCCAGCTCAGTACGCGGGCATTTTACGAGAGGCACGCTTTTTGCTTCAAGCTGACAAACTGGAATAAATACGACAGGATACTACTTTACCTACTTCGTACAATACCAAGGCAATGGCACTACTGTGCTGTACATGTACGAGGCCTCGTAGCTTTGCAAGCCCTTCCCGCTGCGTGCCAGCCCGGCCAAGGTGCGGTCCTGGCCAGCCATTCGCCGGAAAGGTTTATTCCTGTTGTTCTCTCACACTGGCCGTCCACACGCCCCCCTACCCACCTGTCGGCACTCCCCTGCAGCAGCTGCAGCAGCTAGCAGCTTGTGACTTTTGAGCAACCCCAGAGAGAAGAGAGAGAGAGAGAGAGAGAGAAGGAGAAGGAGTCAGTCAATGGGCCGTGGGAATAGAGGAGAGGTGCTGGGTTTGTGCTGGGGCTGATGATGGTGATGGTGATGATGGTGCTGTTGAGCACCGTGCAGTACAGACAGAGGGAAGAAGATGATGGGAAAAGCAACACTCAACATACAATCGAGTACCATACGGTACGGTATACCACCGCAGTACCTCGACAGCACCGGATCCCTGGCTTCTCAATTCTTGCTCTGCCTGCATCTCCACCTTCTTTCTCCTCTCCTCTCTGCGGACTAGCACAAGTACAGACTCGGACTCCACCCCCTAGCGACGAGCTGGCGACTTGATCCATGGCTCCGCTTCAGCCCTCCAATCTATGAAAGCGCTAGCCATACAGCTCTCGAACCCGAATGACGGTAGTGCTACCTCGCACCCACACCGGCCCACGACCAGGATCGGGACAAGGCATCAGGTCCCGTCCAAAGCACAAGCACAAGCAGCGCGTGGCTCAGCGACAAGATACCCAAGTCCCAACACCTGGGGCTGCTAAAAACCCAGCCTTGGGGCGCTAGGGAGGGGAAAAAAAACAGAGTTGAGCAGATGGGGAGAAGGCAAACCGTCTTGTAGCGATAACACACTTGTGGGCAGCTTGCGCCAAACAGATTGCTCAGAGCGACGCCAACGACGACGCCGGCCGGAACCACAGGGAAACCTTATTGACTGTGTATTGAGGGAATCTCGGGACGCCAAAAGTACATCCATCAAAAAGCAGCCGCAGTCCCCCCTTCGGCTCACTCCGAGCCCTTTCATCTGGTCTTTTTTCCCCATCAGCTTGCGTGCAGCTCGACGACCCAACTCAAACGCGGCATCCTTGTCTGCAAAAACTCAACTCTCAACACGAAAAAAAGAGTAAAAGACACAAAGGTTGAAAAAAAATTCCAATAAAAAAAAAAGCAAACGAAAGACACAAAGACGAAAAAAAAGCCAAAGACAAGGACGAGAAAGAATACCCCCGATAAACCACCTTTTTGTGCCAACCTTAATTCTAGAGGGCTTTCATCTAGGAATATTAAGGCTTCCGTGGCACTTGGACCTTCTTCTCTCTTTTTCCTTGTCTCCCTCTTTTTTTTTCCTACCACATCCAGGCGTATACAAAAGTCTTACATACGCCCCCCTCGCTTCCTGTGCCGTTCCCGGAAATCGTCTTTCAACCACCTGCTTGTTGTCTCTGGTTACGGATCAAGATTCGACGCCACTCCACCTCAAAAAGCCTTTTTCTTTCCACGGTAGCAGCGAGCCCGGCCTTTTTGGACGCTTCCATCTACAATCTCAGCGCTCGTATATAAGCAACTCGCTCCCAGGCTTCTTTCCCTTGCGGCATCTCTCCGAACTCGTCGTCTCGTTCTATTACCCCCCCTTCGTCAACCGCAATAGAAGAGCAAGTCTGAGACGCCGTATCACTAAAAACGGCTAAAACATCAGCCCAGCACATCCGCCACTCCCGTCTTCGTTGGGCATTCCAGCCAACCATCGTCTGCTGGCGTTGAGGCGCTGCCACTCGCTGCACCCGCTAAGCGCTGCACTCGCCTACCGCGGTCGCCTGCCTGTAGAGGGTAGAGGTACTCGTGCTCAGAGTCGCCGCAACTTCGTATGTCATCCGCTGCTCAACTTCATCCATCACCTTCTTCCCATCATATCACACAGCCTTGTGCCTTGTCAGAGGAACGGCACTTGCCCTCTGATCGAAGCCGAGTACCTGTCTCGGGGCTGCTGTGCATTACCTTGTCTTGGCGCATAGCTCTTGCATGATCATCATCTCGACAAGCCTCAGCCCACCTCCTAGAAACACTTCTACTCGAGAAGCCTCGTGCTGCCACTTGACGCGCTCATTGCCGAATAGAACAAGAGCATCTATCTAACCTCTGAGCAACCAGAAGCCGTTGTGTCGACGATTCGAGCAGCGTCGACTTGATCAACACCTTTTCAAAGCCAGTGCCATGGAATCGGTTCATAACCCGCCGTCAAGTTTTTCGTCCCGACGACCGGCAACTGGCGCTTTGCCTACCTTTTCTCTTCCCCCGCCACAGTCAGAGGTTCCAAGTATGGATGACCACTCTTCCCGACCTCGTTCTTTCTATAGCATCAAGAACATCGATCTAACCCCCCCGTCTTCAGGAGCCAGCGAAGGCCTGAGCCCAGGTTTGTCGAGTGTCCACACAAGCAGTTCGCAAGGTTCTCAAGCCCCAAACACCATGCAGCAATATACATACAACGCCAGCCACGTCCACGGAAGTTGGCCAACTCCTGGCAACCCCTCTTACGGCGTCAACTCGGCTACAGGCCAGCAAACTGCTCCGATGCAGACCGCAGGCGGGCCGTCATATACCGTTAATGCGGCCAACGGAACCCAGCATCCTTTGGGAACAGCAGCCTACGCCCCGCGATCCCTCTATCCCCAGCCCTACGGCACTCAGCGAAGCCCCCAGTCCCCCGCAGCCCCAGGGGAAGCGTCCTATGAACATCATCCTTTTCAGTCTTCCAATGGCCAGGAGAGCCACTCCAGTTTACCGTCAGGGAGCATCACACAGGCGCCGTCCTTGTCCAATGCTCCGGCCCATGCTGAGCCGTACGGACACAGTCGATCTTCTATCAGCGGACCCAGCTACGGCTCTTCGTCGACTGCCCAGCCCCAGCCTGGCTTCTCCTACGCAACCCAGCACTCGCCGAGCAGCCACTCGCCCACGGGAGCGGCACCGCTTCCACGGGGTTTGGGCCAGCACCCACTCCCCTCCATGGCGCCCCCCGGCCCCTATCGCTCCTACCAGACTTACCAGGCACCGATGTCAACGATGGGCGGGCCCGTCATGTCCAACATTCACCAGCCCGGCAGCTCACTCTCGATGATTCCCGGAATGGTTCCTCCTGGCTACGGGGGGGCCCCGGCCATGATGTACCCACACGCGCAACCACAAGCACAGCCTGAACGGCCATTTAAGTGTGATCAATGCGTTCAGTCGTTTAGCCGTAATCACGATTTGAAACGTCACAAGCGCATTCACCTTGCCGTCAAGCCATTCCCGTGTACTTATTGTGCCAAGAGCTTTTCACGAAAGGACGCTCTAAAGGTATGTAGTTGCTATTGTGTTTTCTGTTCTCCCCGTGGTTGTTGACAATTTGCTGCAGAGACACCGATTGGTCAAGGGCTGTGAAAATAAGAGCCACGAGACTTCTGCCGAGAACCCCAGCGCTTCAGACGAAGGGGTCCAGCGAAATGGAGAGGCCGGCTAAGCCGTGACGTTCCGGAGAACCGACCGGGCGACAGGACCGGGGTTTGCTCCGGATGAGGCGAGCAGCTTGTACACTACTATACGCACAAGAGCACCTTGCAACGGCAAGCGAATGCAGGAGATCAGCATGTGGTTGGTTTTGATACCCAATGGAAAAGGGGAGGGGCTCAAAGATGGAGAGATGCAAAGCCCCTCTCAGACGAGGTAAAACATGCATCGGTCTTACAAAAGGGAAACCAAAAAAATTCACACAAGACACACCGGACGAGAAGGTTGTCGCATTTGTTCCATGGATTCTGGGGGAGTTTTTGTTTTGTTCCGGTGTAATTTTTCACCCTGTTCTTTTTTCATTTAATCCTTCTTTAGTATCTTTTTTTTCTTCTCTTTTTCTCTCATCCCTCTTCTGCTTCATATCAGGCGTTTAAAGAGGGAGGGGCCAGGGTTTACTCTATTACAGAGCAAGGTTGGCCAGGCAGGGTTATAGGGAGTGTATAGTCTACGGGATATCGGGTGTAAACAAGGTTCTGGACAAGTCAAGTCAAAGTCAAGAGCATACGGTATGGATGCAAATGGAGTTTTACGGATTTGATGCACAGTCAGCAACAGTAATAAAACCATCTGTCATGGGTACGCTTGTTTCCAGTGGTTGCAGTGACAAGGGGCACGTTTCATCTGCCAGATGCTGGCTCCAAGGAGCGTTCGGCAGATGGATGGGCTCTTGTAGGGCAGAGAAAGGAAAATACAGGCAGATGCCGGAAAACAATGATCCATGTTGACCGCTATGAGTAGACAAGGCAGACTGACAGACAAGGCAAATAACAAACAAGCTACAGGTAAGTAGAACAAGGCAGAAGCTCAGCCGCCAAACCGAAAAGAGAGCGGCTGAAGGCGCTTCGGAAGCGAAATGAGTAAAATGACAACCTGACAAACACCACCTCGCTCGCCTCCCACACACTGAGACGAAGGAGTCTACAAAATGACGACGACTGTGCTGAGCGAAGCAGCTGAAAAAGTGACAAGCAGACGAGAATGCATGTAATCGGTCTCGGTCAAGTCCCTTAGTTTGTACATGATTCGCGGGGCGAAAGAGAAGGGGGCTTGGTTCAAAAGTCAAGCCAGCTCTTAAACTTGAAAGGGTGCTAGTACAAGAGCAGGAACTCTCTTTTTTTAGTGAATTTATGTACTGGGTATTTATGTTTTTTATTTTTTTTATGATTTGATGGCTTTTTAGGAAACTTGTGATTTGCTGCTTCGGCTGGGCCGGTGTGTGGTGTGAATTCTCCGCCCTGGGGGCTGAAAAAAAGGAAAGGGTAAGGGTAGGGGAAGAAAGGCTGAGAGGCGCTGTTTTGAGCTTGAACTTGAAGTGGCGTTTTTTTTTAGGTGTCTGTCTTATGCTCGAAAAGAAAAAGGTTTTGGGGTGGTACGGAAGGAAAAGTACAGAGAGGGAGAGAGGAAGCTGACGCATTTGGGGTGAGAGTTGGGGATGTTGAGTGTGTGTATGTAAGTATGTAGGTATATGGGTGGGATGGTCTTGAGGGGTTTAGTTCTTTATTGTTTAGTGGTTTATTTGAGATGTTTATTCTGTTGAGGCGAAGTTGATTTTTAATGGGGGATTATTAGGGGGGGCGAAGGAGGAGGATGATGAGAGAGGATGAGTGAATTAAGAGAGGGACAGGGAGAGAGAGTGCAGCTGAGTGGCAAAAGATTTCGGGGATTTCTTGGTTGAGGAGGTGTGGCTCGGCTCGATCTTTTTGTCCGTCTTTTGTTATACTTTTAATCTATTATTTTATTTTGCCTTTGTTGTTTTGTCTTCTTGTGTGTGCGTGTGTCTGTGGATGTATTATGTGTTGAGTGTTGAGTTTTTTTTTTCATTTTCTTCCTTCACCAGAGGAACGGAGAGGAGAAATAAGACATGCATTGCATACGTGCTACATCCATCTAAGTTGCCCCATGTGCCACGACTCTTTGCGTCGAATGTGTCATGAGTGTGTCTATATTTTGCTCTTTAAGGCCCCCATGTAGAAAGTACGCGCATGTTGCTGCATTTGGTCATTTTCACTTCACGGGAAAGAAGAAAAAGTCGATATCATGAAGCAGCTAATGCACCTCGTCCTCACCGGTCGAACAGGGTTGTTCTTCCCAACACCCGGGATCAAAGTACACTCCTTCAGCTCTCATAGGCTACGTAGAGTTATTTTTTATTCTTTATCGTCGAATGGAAGAGCCTTGTCAAAGTAGCCACATCACAATCTTGTTCAGCTGTTTACTTGTCTTCCCAAATCTCGGAGCTTCCTTGTGTGCCTTTTTATTTTTTTCTCTTGCATAGCTCCGATGTGCAACCACCACCTGCCTTGTGAGAGCCCAGCTTAGTCTCAAAGGGGAGAGGGTTGTATGGCTGCGTCGAGGGATATTGGCTGCTGTGTTGCCCACGATGTTTTATAAGCAAAAGAAAACAAAACCTCCTATAGTCATCGATACTACTCTTCTCCTGGAACAAAGTGTGGGATTGAAACCGGGATTGAACTTGTCTATGCTATGAGGCTTTTTTTATAAATAAAACGAGATCCACCTCGTCACCGAGAATCCTCAATAACGTCTTTTTTTTTCTTCCCCCATGTTCTGCTGTATCATCCCGTGTGACACACGCACACGCCCCCAAAGCCGCGTGCTGATCCCTTTTCCTTTTGACACACGCCCCCTATTGTCTTGCATTTTTTAACCAGGTGCGGGATCCAATCACGGGAAGAAAAGAAGACAAGAAAGACAAAGAAAAAACACGCCTCCCCCCTGTCCTCCAAACTATTTTGTTTTCTATCATATTTGTATAATCGCTTGTTCCGAGAGGGAGGACGTCGAAATAGGGCTTCGGACTGTGTATTTTTGGAAAGGGATCCGGTAAAAGAGGCATGCTGCATATCGGCAATGTCTGGACGGGTACGGGCGGGAGATGCGAGGGTTCGGGCAGATACGTGCCGCGGATGGCTGCATTTGGGTGCATGGATGATGACGCTTGGGTTTGTAGTCTCGTGGTGGATTTGCACAGAAAGATGTAAATATTTGTGGTAAAGATTGCTGATACAATTAAGATGAGATGGCACTGTATAATGTTTGTTGATACTCGCAAAATAAGTAATCAAATGCTGCAGTATCGTAGGTGGTTACTCTGATATGAAACTGAGCCTTGTAGATACTCGGCATCACAAGGCAGCACGCCCAACCATTTATTTACTCAGGCTATAAATATCACTGAAAGAAAGCATAGTAGCCAATAGCATAGTACGGAATATATATAGCCGCTTGTGATGATGGAGCAAATTATCTCCGTCGCACAACCTCGACAAACCCTGCACGCCATACATTGTCCATTTACGATGGGCGGCACATGGCATATAATCAAGCGGGCATCGGCTGATTTAGAAAGATGGAACATGTTTGGAAATATCGCTGTGGAGGCTCAAGAATGATATCCGCTTATCCTACATCTCCATCCATCCTCCAATTGCACCTGTGGCCCCTGAGTAAAAAGCTCCTCACTAACATCATGCATCCATTGCCCGTGAACTCACAATGACCACTACAATTATCTCCCAAGAGTAATCATAGAATTATTGGGATAACGCGGCGTCTTTTTCTCACTCGACGCAGCAGAGAACTCCATACGCCTGAGGAGGTCTTGAATACTCCAAAGGCGACCTATTGCCAATGACGAGCCTCTGCCAATATAACACTGCCTCTTTAAGTCTATCCAAGAATTCTAAAGACTTTGAGTCCCGAAGATCCCAATCACTTATATCGTTGACCGGTAAATAGCGCTCCCGGTAGCCAAAAATTTTGCTAGGATCTTCAGCAAACTCATGCCGTTTTTCCTCCTTGGGACGAGGCACTCTGTCAATCAGCCAAAAGTGCTGGGCTCCGGATCTGGCGCATGCGCGGAAGATGATGCCGTCCATCGTTCTCCGCTTGTGGTATCGATACATGGGTGCCCTCTCTGGGTAAAAATTGGCCCATGACTTGTGGTAGGGCAAAGCAAAGTTGAAGAAGCCCATCTGGATGAATGGGGGCATCACTGGCATATGCGAGACCCAGTGCAGGATATTCTTCAAGTCCCTGCTTTGGAAACATATCACGTCTCTGTCCGAGGCGTATGTCAACGTCAATTCTCGTTGTCCATTTCTGAAGTGACCAGTCAATACATGTATCTGCGGGTCATCTCGGACAAGAGGCCCTATTGCTCGCTCCCTCGATCGCGTCCTGTCCACCGACCGGATTACTTCACGGGCCTCCACATAGGTAACCCAGAAATTGTCCTCTATCGAGCGCATCGAACGGCGGTTATTCAGCTCGGCGACTAACAGGGGTGTGTTGTCTCTGGCATCGGGGTTGATATAAGCTGCCAGGTTGTCTTTCAAGGGCTGCCGACGTCTCCAAGTGCCGAGGAAGAGGACTTTGCGTACTTGAGGAGGCCGGAGAGCAAACTTCTAGATCATCCACCGCACGTCAAAAGGCAGCTCAGCGAAGAGGTGGAACGTTTCACCCAGCCGTCCGATGGGAGCCTCCATGCTGGGGAGCGGTGCTAAAGAGATGTTGAAATTAATATCCGAAAAGAATTTATGTGAGGGTTGGATCTGTGTCCAACAGACTGAGTGTAGATACCTGAGAAAGACAACAACATAGATAGGCGTAAGAATAACCTGCCAACAAGCCGAATTCGCTTGCTTCAACATCGTTGCATTGCGAATTATTGCTGCAAGTATGGCTCAGCCAATAGGCTTACAAGGCGATGGCCACTCTTTCCAACCCACTCCGACGATCCGCGACGGTGGGGATGCCGAAGCTTAGTGGCGAGTGATGTTGCGAAGAATCGAACCTTAATAATCAAGATGGGACATAGTTTAAATCGCTAGCTCTAAACTAAATCTTGACATGGATTGGTTGGAGGACCAACGGCGTAGACGAAGTGGAGGATTCGAGGAAGAACGAAGAAGCAGCAGACTTGGAGTCTGAGTGTACGCGTAATCAAGATAGCAACTGTACATGTACTCTTCACGGCGTGAATGTGAAAAGCTTGCACGTGATTCATTACAAGACTTTAAACATGTATTTAGTGCCTTTGTGGCTTTCTTTAACTTGCTCGGGATGGAGACTCTGTGGCATCCTGTCAATGGAGACTCATGCTCGTGGACGCCACTTGTCAACAGCAGAAGTCTTTCGGGAATTATACGGCGAAAACAGATTTCAGTTTCCATTATAAACCCGAATAGAGCAAGTATCCGTTTTATATAATTCCATACTAGGTAAGCATTGTATAATGCCGAGATATCGCGAAGTCTTCACCCCTTCGGACCGGATTCCAATCATACTATATCGTTGTAACCACCCAATTCTATCTTCTATACTATACAAGACGCACAATGATTACCAGGTATCACATTTGATCCAGCCTGTAATTCAAGTTGAAACGGGCCGGTTAATATGCCGGCGCAAGCGCAACAAACCGCGCATTGTGCTTCTGGCGCAGACCCAAAAGTCTTTAGAAGCGATTCTTGGCTTCTAGGAAGCTCCCTTCAAAGCCATAGTGTGTAGTGTGAACTTTAGACACCGTATCTTCATCCTTATCATCCAAAGATTCGCTCAAGTCATTTGCGTTTCAACTTCTCCTCAAATAAGTCCGTAAGTTCACCGGGGGCGATGGTACAGTCGTCGAGTAAGGGTGCACTGTTTACGAATAAGCACTGCTACACATACAAAATCCATCACCTCCATATATACATTGTATAATCTTGTTAGTTTTCACATATTGCGTCATTTTTTCATGATTCAGTTGGTAACCGCTTTGTAGACGGACAATACACGAAATGGGCTCACTGAGCCTTAACCTAGAGCCTAGCTGGCGGGAAGGATTCATGAGAATATGCTTGCTGTGTCAGCCGGTCTCCTCTCTGGCGTGGTCTTGCTTCATTTTTCCATCTTCAACAAGCCCAGCAGATTGGATATCCGCCGCCATCATGTTTTCCTCAACGACTATACTTGAGCTCTATCACATATCGACTCTTCTTTCACCCTATCAATACGTTTACAGGCCCCATAGGTGCACGTATCTCGATTCTCTAATCATGTTATCGTGTGCGTGACCTAGATACATAGAGGAAAATTGCCACGCTTCACGGCCAATACAGCCCGTATGTCCATGGGCTAGCGTTGAAAAGCGAAAAGGGGCCGTCTACGACATGACCCAGCCCATGACGTCTCTCCATATGTATGCAATGTGACAGGTCTCTTCACCACGAGGTTCGCCGCGTCTAGAATCAGGCTTTCGGTGATCGGGCACTTAGGGGGTGCGAGCAGCGGATATAAAGACACCGCGATGTCTCGTATAACAGAATCATCGCCACTGGATGCCGGCCAATTGACATAACAAAGTGCTTTCGCTTTTACAGCTTTGATGTCATGGGTGACCTTACCTTTAGGAAGTCATTCAACATGCCGGAATCGTCTCGGAACCATTGGACCACTGATCTGTTGAGTGTTGGGATTTTGCCTCTGGCTTTGCAACTGCCCGTATGGTTGTCAAGATTTGGGATGAGTATTCCCATATTATCGATAGATTGGTGGAAGTTTATCGGATTTTGTCGGGATAGTTTACAGATTCAACTGTGAACCAGAGGTCCCTGATATCATGTCGGCCCTGCTTGACCCACTGAAAGGGGGGGAACCAAGTCAAGAGGAGACAGATTCATTGATTGGCGACGCCCAGCCCATAATGGGTGCAGGGAGGTGAGTTTATGTGCAATGAGCATGACAAGTAAAGAAACAAGCCTGACAAGACGCCAGCCACACAACGGCTGCAAGCCTGGCTTCCATCTTGTACAGTCTAGCGCATCCCGAAGACATCTCAACGAGGCATCGTTACAAGGCAGACAGTGCAAAAGTGCTCGTGTACTTTGCGTCTCATAGATGACTTACTCCTCCCAAGTGCATGCTGCGGACACATCACGGACAAGCTTCCAGGAACATGAACGCCACCAACCATGACTACCTCCGGAGGTGTGAGGCGGTATATCATACTTACTCTTGTAGCTACAGTTGAAGCGGTCTATTCAAAAGCAGACTCGTTTGTTCTAGAACGCTCATACCAATTTCCGGACATGACCAAAGACCAGGATACGCTTGCCCCGTCCTCAACAGATCAGCCACACCTCTGGTCGCTCCAAAGTATGACGTGCCGGTTAACCGTTTCTTCTGTCAGCCTGTATAGTTGTATCGGGAAGCGCCGGGTCTTTATAGACATCTGGCAGATGATTGCATGGCTCGTTTGGACGTTGGATATTGCTTTTGCTCCAGGGGAGGACGGGCTGAGTTTTGAAGGGGATGCTACTGATGCTTTTATGATGACTTATGGTGAGCTGAGATCACCTTTCAATCTCAAAGAGATCATCTAGAGACTATGTGATGGTAATGGCAATGGTAATGATGTTCAAGCGATGGAGTGGCAGGTCAGCGTATAAGTTGGCGGGCCAATATCCCGTATCCCTTCGGCTGATAGGTATAAGAGTCAATTATGATTACCATTTGTAGATAATTATGTAAAGTATTACATCTATGAGTACCATGTGGTTAGATGAATGAGGGTATGAAGAGGGAAGATGCGTGCATGTCTAGTGGGAAGTGTCAGCTCAACAAGAGAATAATATCGCAAACATGCTCATCAACGCACTAGCAGATCGCATTATATCAACGAAAACAGCGATGTAAATTGACTCAACTCTGAAAATACGAGCTTTGTGTTGTCCAATTAGAGCAGCCAACGCCAAAGAGTGAATTTACAAAATTCTAAGACACGAGTGTTGTTGGGTGTTTGAAGCCGTTTATACCTGGATGGTTGAAGTTTGATGGAAGATGTGCGGAGTATTCGCATGTACTTTTCCCCTCCATTGGATGTACCGGTACCTTGTCAAAGGACCCAATCAGCAACCCCACAGCGCAAACCCCCACCCTGTCAAAACACCTGCGTCCATTTGCGCACGAAAATCGCAAACAACCGGCCGGAAACGAGAGAAGAAGCTGGACATTGATCATGAGCGAGTTTTTTAGTCATGGAACAGGGTGAAACAGGCCATGGGCGACGCTATTTCGGGACCAATTGGAGGAGCTGCTGCTGCTGGTTCATTGGGGGATAATGTGGTGCGTTCAGGGAATCTGGTTTCATGGCGAGTAAATAAATAACTTGGAGCTGCTCTTTGTCTCATTGCCAGATCTGTCTTTCAAAAATCTATCTCTCGATACAAGACTAATGTTCGATAATTATATTACCAGCTATCAGCTATTCAATCATACATCAAAATCGTTTACTCAGTTTGTTGGTTTTCGGTCGTTACATCTTGGACTCGGCCTTTTCTCATTCCGCCCTCCACCCAACCTCAAATCGTCTTTAAATAGAGCTAGCACACAGAACCCATAAGCGGGTCTCTTTTCTCAGTCAGCGGGCATTCCATTGCTTCAACGCTACATAAAGGAGGAGTCGCGGCTACATTGCCATCTTGTCACTTCTCTCGAGTTGCACAGGCGGATCGACATACAAACGACTTCCAGGTCACACCATTTGCTTGCCAACGGACATACCAACTTGCTTATAGACCAACTTACGGAACACATAAAAGACGGTGTAGGACTAGAATCCTTTAAAGAGCTTCTGGTCTTTCTCCTCTTGACATCCCATCCTATCATTCTCGCAAGAAGCTCTCTATCAGCAAAACAACTCCCAACAACAGTCATCATGTCTGGCATGGATATGGACATGGGCGGCATGGACATGGGCGATTCATCGAGCGGCTCCAACTCCACCACAATGACGATGCTCATGGCCATGGTCTTTCAAACCGACATCCACACGCCCCTCTACGCAAACTCGTGGACGCCCAGCCAAGCCGGCACCTACGCCGGCACCTGCATCTTCCTCATCGCCCTCACCGTCATCGCTCGCCTTCTAGTAGCCTTTAGAATTCGCCAGGAGCGCATCTGGTCCGACAAGGACGCCCAGCGGCGCTACGTCGTCGTCAATGGCAAGGAGCCCGTGTCGGAGCGCCTCTCGCGAGACCCCGACGCCAAGAGCATGAACATGATGCTCTCGGAGAACGGCGTCGAGGAAAAGGTTTTCGTCGTGCAGAAGAGGCACTCTTCAGTTCAGCCGTGGCGATTCAGCGTTGATCCCGTCCGAGCTGCCATGGACACTGTCATTGTTGGTGTTGGATACCTCCTGTGAGTCTCTACTACCCCTCTGTTTTAGCTACCCATATACCACTGAACCGAACCAAAACGCTAACTTTGATGTTTCTTTTCCAGCATGTTGGCCGTCATGACCATGAATGTCGGATATTTCATGTCTGTCCTTGGTGGAACATTCCTAGGGAGCCTCCTCGTCGGCCGCTATTGCCCCCTTCCCTCCCACTAAATAAATGCCAACGGCGTCGCAAAGCATATCACAGCATAAGCACCTGGTATCTATGGCATTTCATCTCTGTTTTACAAATCTTCATTGTTATTATTTACGGCGATACGAGAACGGCATCATTTGGCGGTTAGATATAATTTGATTCCCCTGTTTTAGAGCCGGCGTTTTGGTGTTGTCAGGCATTGGACGGACATACGGCAGGTCACGGTGGAAGGAAAAGAACAAGCTGGCGGGTGCAAGGAACATGAGCATAATTGACAGCGTTGGGTCATTACGCATGGCACATCCATTGAGGACGATCTTGGAACGAATATACAACGATGAATTGAACCTTAAAGCAATCGTGATGCGTTGATATTGAAACCAGTTGGATTCTCATTTTGTCTCTTGCAGGTACCTCAAAGTAGCCGGTACTTCCGCCCACCTGGTTTTCAGAAAACCTTCTCAAACCTGCTCGCACCATGCCGGAAGCGGATAAATGCTTTCTGACGAACAATGCTCAGAGTCACGTGGCTGTTTCCGGAACTGCTGTCCAGGCGCGTTTATGTAAGGTCGCAGGCCAGTCTAAACATGCCGCCCGCGATAAGAAACACTGCAGAGTGTGTACCGATGTATTCAAGTAGTAGAAGACTTTATTGAAGGCATGAGTTACATCGCCTCATCTGGCAACTCTCCTAGCAATGAATCAAGAATCCAAGCTGCCCAGGCACCGATAGCCGAATTTTGCCCGAACCAATCTGACTCCTTGGAATTTGTTAGCCACTCTTGTCTATACCTGCTAGACTATATGGGCTGAGGGAAACAAACCTCTTCCACTTCCACTTCCAACGTTAATAGCAGCCCCATCTCATAAAATTTATCTCCTGTAGCAGATACCACCTTGTTCAGGGCCTCAAGCTTGTCGTTGGGCACTTCCTGGGACATCTCGATCCCGTGGGCTAGGGTTTGTAAATCGTGCCGTATTTTCGCCAAGTCATGTCGTAACTCCTTTTGCGCCTCCATCAACTCATGCCGTGTTTTGAGTTGGTTCGCCAGTACCTCGTGTCGTATGTTGACTTCTATGGCTCTAGTGTCTTTACGAATCTCCTGCCGTATTTCGGCCGCAAAGGTCTCGAGGACTCTCGCCAGCTCGTCTGGAGTCATGCTCATCATTATGTAAAAGGGTGGAGGGAGCTCTCGTGGGTGTTATTTGATACTCTCGGTAAAGAAAAGGACATGCCAAAGAAAATTGTGAAAGCCGGCAAGAGACTTTAGCAATTTACGAGGAAGAAAAAAAAGACGCAGAAGGGGTGGGCGAGGGCTTAGAATATATAATGCCACTCGAATAGATATGTAGATATGAGGGAGCGCGCAGGATAAACCTTGGCTAGGTACGAAATGATGCTACGTATGGATGCCTAGATAATACCTACGTAGGTACTGATATAGAATTTTAACAGGTATCTGTGGGTTATCTCCATTCATAAAGTCACTTTTGAGTTTCATCATTCTAAACCATGGAAGCCCCAAAAAAGGCTGTACTTTAGGGGGGTGTATCCTTTGCCGACCTTCATCAAACCCAGCTCCCGTTCTATACATCTAGCTCATAATCTGTTTAGGCGAGTGCTTGATTTACGATGCCATTCCTTTTGGCTTCTTCCAATAGACTTGTAGTGACGGAAACAACCCCTGTGAAGACTATCACCAGGTAGAGTCCACAATATAAATTGTCCCCAGAAAACGCCATAGTGTGGGCCGAACCTCTTGTACTTGAGCAAATACTGACGACTACCTAGAAGAGAGACCATGCGATTAGATAAACGAGAGTTCAACGTGTATACCCGCGTACCCTGTGTCTGTAAAAGGACTACGTACCTGGTGGTCCATCTAAGTCAGGTACCTATCTATTTAGTCGCACTGTTCTAAGTGTCTAGATACCAAGGGATTTTGAATAGCAGCTCATATAATAAAGATAGCAACGAGGGCATGTAATTGCCAAGTTGTCAAGATGGCTAAAAATCCTGGTATCACTTGATCGAACCCGTAGACTCCAAGGTGGGATAAACTGACCCATTGGGCTTGAGTCTAAGCAGGGGGTACGATTACATCTAGTCTGTTCTCAATTCGTTTGCTATGCTCGATTTTCACTCTATATCTTGTCAGATCATCTTTTGTACATTTACCAAACAGGCTGTAGAAATAGCCATTCCTTACGTCTGGCGTCCGAATGTCCGCCTATGAAGAGAGTGACTCTCGGCTCCGGTATTGTTTCCTCTCCACTGCCAAATGGCTCTCTTCAAAAACGTACAGACTTCACTGCTTGACCATCCAAAGACGAATCTTGCTTTTAAGGGGTTATGCCATTGATAGGAAGTAGATGGCATCACGAAAGTCACGTGTATTGCTTCCTGACTGCCGTCCAACAACGCTTAGTAATGTCAGAAGCTGTGCTTTCCACCTCTTCATACAGGCGACGGCGAAAAGGTCATTCGTATTATAAGTAGTATCAAGATATCAAGAGGCGATTCAGCCGTTTAGTCTCAAATAAACCCGTCTTCGTAAGAACTCACGCCGCTTGTGCGGATTCCACCCGTCATATGTTCAACCAGCATCTTTCCAAAGATCAGCCTCAACCACAAGATTCCCGCAGAGCAGTTCAACCTCCCAAATAACAGGCCAAAATAACTTAGATTCTTAATATCCCGAAAAGATTACTCCATGTCCAAGAATCTCGTATCCTCAAACCCATTCACTCACCCATCATCCTCTCCACAAAAGCCGTCGTCATCTCCCATACCCAAACCGTCACAACACAGCCACCACAACCTCAACCTCCCTTCCATCCAACACAACTCACAACACAACTTCACCTCTTCTCAGCCCTTCCCATAGAAACCTCCAAAAATCCATCCTCACCCTCCCTTCCACCATTCTTCTCCAAAAACAATCCCCTCCCAACACCAAAAAACACAAGAACCAACACCCCATCACCCAACAACCCAAACAATAAAAACCCTCCCAAAAACTCCAATAAAAAAAAGACAAACCACAAAAAAGAAACACAACCCAATCACACTCACCCTCCCTCCCCAAAATGGCAATTCATCTTCCCCGATGCGGATAGGTAGCCAAAGGAAGTAAAGAGGGGGATGGGAGGGAGTGTGGACAAAAAAAAAATTCCATCATGTCCAAATCGAGAAACAGCATTAATCGCAAAAAGGTAAAGGATGAGTTAGACAAAAAAAATCCACGCATCGAGAAAGGGTCCCGAACGGCCCGCCCTCCGGGACCAAAAATTGCCTATTCAAGTGTTTTGCAGGGCTGATCTATCTAGACTTGGTTTGATCTTGCGGATGCCGCGTTCTAACCTCAAAGAGGCCTTTTTGAAGATCACACGATGCCCGAGATGGTTAAAAAGAGAGTCATGCGCGCACTGACGTGGTCCGAGCAATTCACGAGTCACGTTCCCAAAAAATGTTCATTAATGTGTACAAAAGTTAGAAAGGAGAAATTCTCTGTTGTTTGGCAAAGCTAGATTCATCAGATTCATGTGATGTCTTCTTCATTTTTGCCGCCATCAACAATCATGCCCTCATGTGTCCATTATCATCCGCCCTGCAACAGCAGCCCATCATCTTCCCTTGCCTTCCCCCCTCCCGGCCTCCCAAAATCCAGACCTGCCCAGACCTACCACCCAAGTACCAACCCATCTTGAGATTGCCGTGCCCAGCATGAAGAAATCACATCTTGCTCAAATCGCACCCGAAAGCTAGAACTCTCCCACCTTGAGTAGGTGGATCTGAGAGCACTCACCCTTGCTTGCATACAAGAGTTCAAAATGCTTGCACAAAAGGCCGCCGCCAACATCCATTCTTGTTTGTAATCAATACAGTCCTCAGTCCTCCCTTAACACACGCCATTGACGCTTCGAAACGCTCGGTGCCACAAGTACAACAACGCCCATGATTGAATCCAGGGTCGAGAATTGAAAGGATAGACGCCTTTGCGGCGTCAGTACAGTAACAGAGACATGTGTCGTCTTGTTAATGCTCCAATCATGATTCTCTTCCCTGGGATGAATTGAAAAAAGGCGTCAGGGTTCGTGTAGCTCCTGAATTTGAAGATTTGAGAGAAAAAATTCAATGAGAAAAAAAATAATAAAAAAGGAAACGGGGCAAAGCACAATATGATAAAAAAGGATATGAAAAACATATCAACATCATCAACGCCGAATCGGAACCCTCGCATAAATGTGACGGCAACATCCTGGAGACGGATCAAGGCCCGCGAACAACACCTCCAAAGATTGTTGAAAGCAGGGTATTAACGGTTTCAGTCTTTATCTTGTTCCCCAAGAGTTCTTTTTTTATGATACTGCTCATGACTGATGATGAGAGCTTGGGGGCATTCCTGGCTGTGGAGGCATGCCAGAGCCGTAGCCTTGGTTGCGCTGCACATAGCTCTGGTAGGCCAAAGCCTGCTGGGGATCCATGGGCATATTTGGGGGCATATAGCCTCCGGGGCCCATGTGTGGGTTTTGAGGCATGCCTGGACGGCCGCCCTGTGGTGGGAGATGACTGGGAGGCTCCTCAGGAGAATCGACCTGGTCGCCGCCGTCGACACCGTTTTCGCTGCCCGTCGTGGGCTCAGGTGCGTTGAGGCATGCCTATTTGACAGAGACAATTAGCATCGACGTTTGAGGGAAGGAAGAAGAGATGGTTGGGGGCGAAGAGCGTGTTAAGCGGCCAATTTGCCCGCCAACCGTGTGGCCACATTTGCTCTTGGCTCGCATGGGAAGAAACAGAAATCATCTGTGGAGGCGGTGCTTACCTGGATCAAATTCTTGCCCTCAGCCTTGGTGACGAGCGGCTGAAGCTTGGGCGTGGTGAAGGTGTAAACCAGTCCCGTCTCAGACACGACCAGCAGCAGAACCTGGGTGCCTGTCAAGACGGACAATTCGTACGCCTGCAAAATGGAGAGATTTCCTGGTTAGCTGGATGTTCTTCTCGGATGGAGCGGAAAGCGAGCAAAGACGGCGATTCCCATCTCGACCGTGACCCGCGCGCGCGCTCAGCAAGTCACATTTTATAGAAAGCAACAAGACGGATGTTTTTCCGTGGTTTGGTTCGAGGCGCGGGGGAAAAGAGGCCAAGCGGGTGCGACTTGGAGTCAGCTCTTAGCAAAAAAACGCACCTTCTTCATGATGCCGGCCTTGCGCTTGGAAAAGGTGATGTGGCGGCGAGACTTGTCGCTGATGAACTTGATCTCAATCTTGCGACGCTCGCGGCCGCCCTTCTCGTCATCGTCGTCGTCGTCGTCGGCAGCTGGGCGCGGTCGCTTGACGCCGCGGCCCTCGTTCGCGTTGCCATTGCCCACCGAGTGCGCGTCGTCGAGCTCCGTGGGCGACGTCTGATCGTGCTGGTCGGTGATGTCGGCCATGTTGAGCGTCTGCGGTTGCAACTGCGACAGCAACCATAAAATGCCAATGCCAATCCTAATCCGAATCCAATCGTCGTCGACTTGTATCACACGGCGCTGGAAAAGGCAACGAGTGGTGGAGATACTGCTTTGAGCGTGGTGCCGATGGATCTATACTGGATCTGGCGGTTTTTTTTTGGGCGGAGAGGACAGGCGGAAAGAAAAGGGAACTGGTCCTGGTTGGGAGGCGCTGGAGCTGGATCGAGTCTGGCCGGAGCAGGCAGTGGCCAGTGGAGGCGGGTGCGCACGGTGGCGGTGCAGTGCGTGCGAAACAGGTGGGCAGAGCAGCAGAGGGAAGGCAGAAGGCGCGGACTGGACGTTGGAATTCGAGTTAGCGAGTGCCTTTTAGCGGCGCTAGTGCTGTGTCGGGGCGCTTGTAGCGCGAGAGGGAGGGGGAAACAAACAACAAGTTTTCGACAGCGCCGAGATGCCCTGTGCCAGTTTTATGTCATTTCGAGGCTGCGAGTGAGGGCAACTGAGACTTTTGAGACCTTTGCAGGTCGCGGGCATGTGCATCGACTCGACAGCAGCAATCCCGCCGAACCTGCACCCCCCAATCGCAGCAATTGGCACCCTCATTTAGTGCGCTTATCGCCTGACGGGTGACTGCGAGATGACGGGGGTGGCATAGCGCGGCCTTGAGATAGCTGCGGCGCTGCCTGTGAGTGGCCGGCCGTGCTACAAGCCCTCGGGGCTGGAATTTGGCACCCGGCAGAAAAGCGGGGGCTGTTCCGCTGCCACTGGGCAGTCAGCATCCGGGGGACCACACCGTGCGCAAATCTTACCTCTAAGCACTGTATTCGCCGACTCCCAGCCTTCCCAACTGCTCAACTGCTCTTCCAAGGCTCGACAAAACAGCGGGTCGGTGGTGCCCATGGGCCGATTAAGGACATGTACATGTGCTCCGTACCGTGCGCCGTGGGAAAATCACGCTCCAGCTGCCAATTAACTAATTGCTGCAGCAGACAAACGATGGAAGTTCGTTCTAGATGCTCTGCAGCAACCTGACTCTTTTTCTTTGGCCTCGGCGCTTTAGATCCAATTCACTGGGTGGACAATGCGTGTACTGTAGAGGTCGTGTAAGCTTGCTTGGGATTGATGCGCTCAACTAAGGTTAGGGGACAAGGTAAGGTAAAGGTAAGGTGATGAGATCTACGGGACGCTCGCGCCGCCTCTCCATAACGGCTAGCTCTGACAGATCAAACACAGGGGAGCTGATGCAAGAGGAAGGGGAAATTGACTTTCTGGCTCCTCGTATTACAGAGCACTCGTACCTTCTCGTACGCGAGGCGTGCAAAGAAAGTCTTTTCGTATGGTTATCCGGGGTCCGTATCCCGCGCCAAAAGCTCCTCTTGTGCTGATCTAGGCTCCGCCAATTTTATTTAATTTTCCACTCATAATCAATATTCTACAGCATCTCGTCTTCCCATCTCATCACGCCGTCACTTGACCAGACCAACGGGTGTGGATGGCTGGGACCAAAGATGCCGTTGGCTCGCTCGCTTCCACTTCAGCCCGCGCCAGAGATGGAAGCTTCAGGGGCGAGAGAGGCTGGACTCGGCTCGACCGTCATCCTCCTCCATGTGCCTTTCTCACACCAAGCTCCAATCCCAAGTGTTTTTTGTCGTCAGCGCGTTCGGACACACAGCGGCCTCCACTCCGAATGTCTTGCTGCATCTGCCGACCACCCTTCTGCAGCAGGGGAATCCGGAATCCTCTTGGTGCGAGCGTTAGTTCCAGTAAGCAGGCAGTGGAGTTGCACAAGGACCATCATGTACCCACGGCTGGTGGCCCTACCACTGCCGCGTGCAGAATTCGCTGGTTCGCTGTTATATCTGCGGCGATATCATCAACGCGGGTACCTGGACGACGGATATGCTTGACCAGAGTGAGACTCGCTGCTTATGTACAGTATCCCCCTGCCATGAATTCAATGGTTTGGTCCAACGGTTCCGGCTGTACTCATACTGTACTGCACTGTACTGTATCCGCACCCGTGCTTCTGTCTTCACACAACGTGGGAGTAATACTGCCGGCGTTGATACGATACAGGTACGAAGAGTACGATAATAGTACTCGCATTAGTTGAAGAGACACGCTGCAGAAGCCCCTGCGTTGCTGCATGAATGACATTATGGCTTTGGACCAGCGCCAGCCTCGGTACCGCAGCGTGCTTAGCGAACTTTTGTCTAGCCCTTGAGCCGTGCCACTACTGAGCTACCAAACACCATCGTCGACGTTTGCGAAATTGGGAGGGGCTGGCAGTGGGAGAAAGCGTCCGTCAACACGACCAAGAAGAGCAAGACGATGAATCTCTGCAAGCACACATCAGCTCCATTCCATTCCAGGCCAGACGTATCCTCGTCCAGTACCAAGCACGGACGGGCTCTCTCGTGCCAGTCATGGGGTGCAGGGTTTCACCTTTGGGACGGGGAAGCGACGCGTGAGAGCTGACCTGACGCGAGACCCTGGACCTCGTCTGCGCTCTGGTCGGTACTTGGACGCCATGCGAGTGTAAGAGATGCTCCAGTGTACCTACTCGTCCTGTCCTCGACTCGACACACACGCACAGGTACAACCAATATTCTTCCCATGCCCACCCCAAGCTGACACGGGACACGGGCCAAGCTGTAGCGGCCCACCGTCTTGGAGTGTTATCGACGGGCCTTAGTAATACACGAGCTCGAACTAGCACGGCCTTGCTGAAGGATGCGGAGCAAAAGACGGACGATGGCTGGCCCCCTAAGACTGGTGGATGAGTTAGGTAAGTATCCGAACGGGTTCCCGGGCAAACAGATACGGCACAGTGCCAGGCATTCTGCTGGGTATTGTATCGTATTACCTGTATGAGCTCTGTGCCCTCGATTCGCGAGACGACAAGACTCGGATACACGTAATACTCGCAATCTATAAACGACCAGACTCTCCAGAGCGCGTTTGCCCGTTTCATCACAGCCAAGGCACGCCATATTCGCAGCGGCTGTCAGAACGCTTGGGGCAGCGGCAGAAATGGGGGTCATTGCCTCTTTAGGCAGCTACAGCAAGCAGGGCTGGCCACAGTGCGGCAAAGGATTCAAAAAGGGCCTTTGCATTCTGAGGTTCCACCGCGGCGAAATCTGGGCGAACAAGCTGGTCGGTGTCAAAGTGCGTCGCCGGTCAACTGCGCACAGTCCGTGTTTTTTTGTTTCTTTTTTTTTTTGCAGCAATGAAAGAGCGAGAGCCAGAAGAATAAAATCGGGGCCACGTCTGCCCGGCAAAAGCTGAAAAAACTGTAAGCTTGCGTTCGGATTCGCCCGACCACCCTGATTATCCAATTGCCGGTTGGCTGGTTGGCTGGGCTGGGCTGGGGTCTTGTTGCAGCTGATTTTGCAACGGGCTGTGCCACCCCCAGCGGGATCCCGTACAGTGCAATCCCACTGCCCATCAAACGGGCTGGTTTAATTGAAGTTAGCACGTAGATTGTGGGCCGGGCGTCGCGCTTTGTTGCATAACCAAGTACGCCGCGGCTGCGAGGTTTGCATTCCGTGATGATATCGGACAAGCGAGGGAGCTGCTGAAAGATGGGACGAGGCCAAATTCTCACAGGCCTGGGGTTTGGCCTAACAAGTCAGGCGAGAACAAAGTTGGTGCCTGAGATGTGAGGACGGAAGAAAAAGAAGAGAAGAGAAACAAGCCGGGACGAGACGAGACGCGACGAGGGGATGGGCTCGTGGCCAAGCGAGACCAGCTCGGTAGCAGGTTCGTGTTCTTAGCAGCGGGAGTGGCCCTAGAGCCGACTGGTGAAACGAAGCTCGGGATGCGTCGAGGTTTTGTGTCTGTTTTACGTGTTTTGCCTGCTACTGGACTGTGCATTGCGTAGCGATATTAATGCTGGTTCAATCAATCATTGAGAGAAAGGGGAGAGAGAGCAAGCTTGTGAAAAGTCAAGGAGAAAGAAGATGGTGATGATGGAGAGTTCACCCAGACGTTAATAAGTACATGTATAGTCAGTGCATTTTATCATCAATATGAGCAACCAGAAACCAACAACCACAGCTCAAGCTACAGCAAAAGCAACAGCAACATGATCGTGCAAGTAAAAATTTCACAAATCTTCAATTTTCAACCCACGCCCGCATAGACAAGCAATCAAACCCACAAGCCGCAGCCAGTCTCGCCCATCAAACAAGCCAAGAACCCCCCCAAAGACTCCCCAATCAGGCGACTCAGGACCCCAATCCGCGCCTCTGATTGGCCGCCACCCCTGTCGTGCCGCCGCTTCTGCTTCACCTTTTGGCTCCCTGAAACGCAGCCCGTTCGAGGACTCGCACGAGGAAACGACAAGACTCTTCAAGCGCTTGCGGGTTGACGGGGGCAGTCAGTCTGGGTTTTGTCTTTTCTCTCTGGTTTCTCTTTAGTTTCGTTTCTTTCTCTTCTTTTTTTTTCTTTTCTCTTTTTTCTGTATGCCTGGTGCATGTACGTGACTTTGAACCCATATTTTTCTCTTTCTTCTTCTTTTCCTTGTTATTCGCTTCTTTTCATTGTAGAGGTTATTTTTCCAGACTCTCGCTGTCTTTTGAATTTGTGAAACTGCCGGGCAGTTGAGGTCGAAATAACCAAATCCGTTTTTTCTTTTAATTTTTTCTTATTTTACGATTCGATTCCACCGAGCTTAGGTCTTGGTTTGTTTCTTTTATAGGTTTTCAGTTTTTGGAAAGACGAAAGACGAAGAACGAAAAAGAAAGGTCCAGGACGCCGGCCGTCAAACAAAACATCAAACCCACAAAACTCCGACGTCAAAACATCTCGAACCCGACGACAAACAATCTTTCTTTTAAACCCAGTCAATTTTCAATCTCAAAAAACGCATCATGCCTGACAAGGTCTTCGTCGCCACTCTCGTGGCCAACCTGCTCTTCCTCGCCTCAGGCGCAATGGAGCTCGGCTTCTCCATCGCCGCCATGAACCTCAAGAACAAGACGCCCACCGACGGCCAGGACGCCACGCGCCACCTCATCTACCAGCAATTTCCCCTGACCGCGGGAATCGTCAACGCAGTCTTCGTTCTCGCGACTTTTGTCTTTACTATCCCCGCCATGGCACTGGTTAAGCGCAACTTGCTCAAGATTAGCGGCTACATGATTACTATCTGCGGCGTGTTTTCGCTTGTTGTGGGATTGTATCTTTGGATCATGACGTTGAGGCTCAAGGAGACGTTTGAGCCTATTTACGCGGCGCAGGATGAGTCGATTCAGTCGTTGGTGCAGACTTCGGTATGAAATCCCCTTTTTTTCCCCTATTCACATTGTATACACATACAGACACACAACTCAAATACCCCAAAACGTGTTCAACAACTAGCCAAGAACTCATCATTAACAAATTCATCTTCCAGTTCCAATGCTGTGGCTACCTCAACAGCACATCTCCCGCCTTCGTCACAGACTCCGTCTGTCCAAGCCCTGCCGCGGCAACTCTCCTCCGAGGCTGCTCCACCAGCATGTCCAGCTTCGCCAACGCCTTCATCAACGACCTCTTCACCGCCGTCTTCGGCATGGTCGGTACGTCAAAACTCTCCATCTAGCAATTTCCCCCTTTTTTATGCAATGCAAATTAACATACATTTTAGGCATCGATGCCCTCCTTGTCCTTGCAATTGCCTGTCTCCTCAAAGAGCGCAAGGAAAAGGAGCGTTACTACATCATCGATCAGAAGCGAGACTACGGCCGTCTGTAAAGTAATGGAGCCCAATGAAAAACTAAAACAAACGAAAAAAAAACAATGTTATATAGTCACGGTTATAAAAAGTCAAAACCCCCTATTTGAGGCTGAATATCATGTTTTGTTATGCCCCTAGTTTATAGCGTTGCAAGGTCCTGCTTTTTTTTTCTCTTGCCTTGTCCAATACTCCAAATACTTTTTAATCAAGATTCCTCTTTTTCTTTTTCTTCAGCGGAATGATGTTTACCATTGACTCCCATGCCAGAAATATTTTGTTTTTGATGCCTCAATGCAATAGTAATACATGTTGTGAGTGGTCAAACTCACTGGAATGAAAACAGAGACAAGGGAATAAATAAACACAACACAGAATGACTCCAGATTCCTCCTACAAGTCGCATGCAAGCATCTAGTGCGGTGCAAACCTGCCATGAACAATAGATTTCCATCTTGGTATAATGTGATGAAGCAAAGAAATGAAAAGAAAAAGGCTATCACCAGCTTCCCTTCAATCTCCAAGAAAATCGCAACTTCAAAGTCCCACAACACGCTGCTGCTCCCGTCGAATCCCCAATGAATAATTAATAGTCTAAATATGCCTCCAAATCGAAATCACAATCACATGCATTGTAATACCTCTCTTCTTTTTGTTCTCTTCCTTCCTTCTTTAGCTCATACATTTGAGTCGTTGGCCCTGCCATCCGAACCCGCTTCTGGCTCGTCTCTATAATTTTGATGCGGAGAGTTACTTTCGTTTCTATTACCGCTGCCCGCCGAGGCACGGCTGCTGTTGCGTCTCAGCCAGTTCAGCGAGAGTATACCGCCCAGTGTTTCTGAAAATGCAGAATCCCTGCGAAGATTACGACGCGCAACCAACCCGGGGAACCCCGTGCTCTTCCTCCGCCGGCGGGTGAATTTTCGAGGTGAAACATCTGCGCTTGGGCCTACCTGACCTGTAACGCTGACGCCACTCATCGCCCTCCCGATCCGGGGCAACAGTGGCGATGATTCGGTCCTTGTTGGGAACGTGGTTGAGCGCATTGGCGAGGTAGGTTCATCCTGATCTTGCAACTCCCCCCAGATTTCAGCCCGCTCTATCCAACCCAAACTTTTCTTGCGCGTCGGCGTCAGTGGGGTGGTGTCGCCATGCATCACGGGGAATGTCTGGTATGTCGTGGAAGGTAGCTCTTCGTCAATCTCAACTGTGGCTTCTGGGCCCATTAGTGATTCTTCTTCTCCTTCAGTATCGTCAACGAGCCCTAAGCCAGGGGCTAACGAGGACTGACCGACTGCAGGGGCGTGCTGCTCGTCGCTCAGCCGCCATGATAGCGCTAGGACTCCCGAAAGAAGAATGACTGTTCCCAAGGTAATGAGACAGGCGTCGCCCGTTGAGATGAGGCTCGTCTGGTTGAAATAAATTAGGCCATCGAGAATGGCAATGATGTTGTATACGCAGAAAACAAGTGGGTATAGGACAGATGTAGAGACCAGCTTCAGGCCACGGTGGAGATAGTATAGCTGGCAGAGTGCTAGAGAAACGAGTCCCAAGACAATGGCCCAAGATTGCCAGCGAAGGAACTGGTTCTTGCCGCCTATCGTCTTGATAAGAAGCTCAACGGCGGATTTCGCAAAGAGTAACGAGTGTGCTGAGAGGTCTCCGCTGATGACGCCGTAGCTTATGCCACGGATTAGGCGGAATCTGGCATTGTGGGACAGGCTGGAGAGGCTGCTGACAACATCCGTAACAATCGCAAACGACACGACAAACAGCGCCTGCAGTATCATCCAGACGATAAAGGGCTTTCGGGCCAGTAGCTCCAACAGTTCATCCAGCTCGTGGGCTGGAGATGGGATGGCGCCAAAGATGGCGATTAAAACCGCGCCGCTGCTGACGAGCAGAGTGCCGCAGAGCGACCATCGCGTAAAGGGCTCGCTGAGGATGAGCGTCGCGCATATCGAATTGAACACCAAGCCCGCAGCCTGGAGGGTCGAGAGGACGGGCAGCGGCAGCGTCGAGATCTGGATGCTGCTCCCTAGGATATTCGCAATGACAAACATGGCCATGCCCAACTGCCACCTCCTCCTCCGATATGGCGGGCGACGAACATCGTGCGGCCCCTTTTCGTCCTCCAATATGTGTGATTTTCGCTGCAGAGTGAGGCCTAGACTTTGAACACTAGTCGAGATCAGGCCAACGAGGATTCCTAGCTGTCAAGTGTTAGCAAGCGCACCAGCCCGAATATCTCTCTCCTTTGCGTAGAGTGCGTGCATACAGCTATGCTCCCTCCCGGGGAGATGTTCCCAATAGGCCCCATTACACCGTCTCCAGGCCTGTGGTCATCCACCGGTAGATGTGAATAAGAGCGCGCTTGGTCGTGGCATAGGAAAGGGTGCTGGTAGTTGGGCAGCGTTATAGGTTTGGACGGCTAAGGGAGCTGGTGTCAAACGAAACGCTGCAAGCTCAAGCTGCTTCCACCCTTGTTTCCCTCCCTACTCGTGGCTCTGATCGTCAAGGAAAAGGTGTGGTTTTCTCTAGTTCTGTGCAGCCGCCGGTTCCGTCAGCGAGGCTATAGCGGTATTGATCGGGTTCGAGTCGAGCGCACTATGTCTGGCACTTAGTCTAGCAGGGTATGGTGTGCGTGTTATAGACGTGAAGGTTTGTCGTTGTCGGTTGAAGGTGCCGGCCCCCCAAATCACGGTTATGGTCGCAAACGCAGCGAGTAATTCGCCTGGATTGTGAGACTAAATCAGCTGGGACCCGACGAGGCAGCGTGCAGAGAAATGCGTTGGCGCTCGATTAAACCTGCAGAGCCACCTGACGACGTCAAGCGGTATGCGAATGGAGCATCGCGCGCTGCATGCTGCTCAGAGGTGCATAACGTCTGGAGCTCATTGGTGTGGCTGGTGGCCGTCACATGAGGTCAGGTGACACTCGTCATTGCCATTTCCCTGACGTTTCAGTACCTGTATTTCCGTACTCGTATTAGTGGCTGGCTGTTAAACAAAGAGAGGAAACAAGGTACCTTAGCATGGAACCTCATGAAGAGTCATGCTGAATAATTTCCAACCACATGCTCTTGTATACCTTGTTGCTAGTACACGAAATATATCGTCTAATTACAATTACCAAAATACAATAATTTCCCGCCGCTTCACTGTTCCCGAGAAGCAGCGATATTGCTCCGCGCTCGTACCAAGCAACCGACAAGCTGTGGCGGTGCGCAGTCGCGGCCCCAGAAGTAGGTGCGAGCCAGCACTCTCAGCCTAGTACCTGCTAGTAGCGCAACTCTGGTGCTGCTGCTCCACTGCATCCAAGCAGCATCACAGCTCCGAGATATTACGCTTCATCCCTCACTCAAACCCCCAAAAGCTTCGGCTCCAGACTCTCGCCCAACTCTCCCCCGTCACCTCGTCCACAGCGCTCAAGGCACAGGCCGATCGATTCCTCACAGGCCTTGCTGTAGTGAATCCATTCGCAATTCATCGTCCCTCCTGCTCCCGATATTTCCCCCCCGCCTAGCACCCAAGATGTCGCAACACGCCTTATCCGATGCTCAGGCAAGTTGCTCTCCAAGCTGCCCGCCATCCCCGGCGCTTGGCATTTTGCGGCTTCCAAGTGATGAAATGCTGACCAGGGCCGCCCCGTGACAGGTCGACAATGAGCTCCGCAAGATGACGGCCTTCATCAAGCAGGAAGCCATGGAAAAGGCCCGCGAGATCGAAATCAAGGCCAACGAGGAGTTCGAGATCGAAAAGTCAAAGCTCGTCCGCCAGGAGACCGACTCCATCGACACCCAGTACGAGAAGAAGTTCAAGCAAGCCACCATGTCCCAGCAAATCACCCGGTCGACCGTCGCCAACAAGACACGGCTCAAGGTTCTCGGCGCCCGCCAGGAGCTGCTCGACAACATCTTCGAGGAGGCCCGGAGCCAGCTGGCCACGGGCGTCAAGGACAAGGCCAAGTACCAGAAGACGCTCAACGGCCTCGTGCTCGAGGGCTTCTACGCCATGAACGAGCCCGAGCTGCAGCTCCGCGCCAAGAAGTCCGATTACGACGCCGTCAAGAAGGCCATTGAGGAGGCAGCCAAGGAGTACAAGAAGGAGGCTGGCCAGGATGTCACGGCGATAATTGACGAGGCCAACCCCCTGGACGATGGAATGTACGTTTGCAATAAGGCCATTGATAACCCGTGAAATTAGGGCTCATTTTATTGACTTTTGGAAAACCACAGTGCCGGCGGCGTCATCATCCTGGGCGGAAAGGGAAAGATTGACATTGACAACACCCTAGAGGCCCGGCTGCAGTTGCTGGAGCATGCCGCAGCGCCGGCCGTGCGAGAGAACCTGTTCGGAAAGAACCCCAACCGCAAATACTACGACTAGACTCGCCCGCCGTAATTTACTTGGCAGCTGTATCTTATTACCTTTACACTGGGAAAAGAGGGAATCGATGGAGAGTGGGGGGAAGGGCAGAGTAGAGGGCCGTCACGTCTGAAAAGAAACTGAGGCATGCATTTCGTCGAATTAGTCTGCGCTTTTTCCTAGTTTAGAAGTTGTATCATATTTCACTACAACAAAGCTTTCTTGAACTCAAAATCTCCAGTTAAGCAAATTATCACGCTGGTATAGCCTATAGCCCCCATATATAATCCCAAAAACACAAACACCCTGTTCAAAATCGGCAGACGCAAAACAGTCACGTCGCCATATACCAAAAGTTGACAGCTGAGCCAAGTTCTCGTATCATTTCTCGCCTTGTGGCTTGGGTATCTTTTGGAAAAACTTGGCCATATACTCCTGCTGCTTCGGCAAGGACGCCAGGTCCTCGTGGCCGGGAAAGTCGAATATGCTCTTCTTGAGCTTTCTGCGCGTGCGAACCGTATTAGATAAACGTTGCTGAACCCACTCGACGACGCTCTTCGCCTCTGTCCGCGTAATTTTCATGCCCGCGTCGTTGATCTTACGCCAAATCTCCCTGAGTTTTGTGGCGAGCTCATCGATGTCTTGGTTGAACTGTTCTTCGTCTTCTAGACTGCTCAACTCCGGCGGGGTTCCATCGTCAACGGCGATATCCAAGATGGTTACCATGGCTTTGAGTTCCGCGAAATCGGTTTGGGGTGTGATGCTGAAGTCGTCTTCGTCAAGACGTTCAATGGCATGTCTAACTGTGAAAACGTCTTCAGGATGCTGGCGGCCAAGATGAGGATCTTCAAACAAGAACGTAATGGCAAGTCTCCTCCGGACGTCGTGTGTCCTATTATTGCGGATAGATAGGCATTGCAATGCATTGACTCTGATATGCTGAGCTTCAATAACCGCTTGCAAAATTGAGCATGCGTCACCGCACTGAGCAGATCAGTATTCGAAGGTGGTCATGTAGGCCGAGGAACTATACTTACGAATGAGTCCCATGATGAGCTGGGGATTGCATTGACGAGACTTTCAATCGTGTCTTCGTATACCGTCAATAGGTCAATATTGTATATCAACAGCTTGTCCATGGACATTAGAAGGAGAGTTTGTGACGCGTAGATGGCAGACGCTGCTGACAAGTGGCCCGAGATCATACTTAGAAGCGTCATAAATGACTCCAGATTTGACCAGTCACGATCCTGATATTGTTCATTGGTTAGTTTGGAGACGGTTATCTCAGACTCTCGAAATTTGATGTCATCGCTAGCCCCGAGTCTCAGGAAGAGTTCCTTCAGCCGCTCAAGAGTCAAAAGCCGTTCAACTTGATCAGGACATCCGTGAATGATGTGACAATATTCACGTCGAATGAGAGGTGATCTCTCAATGCACAACTCATTTAGTATCCACTGGAACAAAGAATCCGGTAGTCCACCATTCTTAGCCAGGATACTCTGAGGAACCCCAGAAGTGAGATTCCGTTCCCTTGCTGCCGAGTTCCCTTGAGTTAACAAGGTCCATGGCGACGCAAGCTTTGGGACGGGCGAGCTTGGGGGAACTTTGTAGTCCCTATCAAAGAAACAATAACGACTTTGGGACTGTATTGGCTCCGCCCGCTGGACCGCTCTGATGACCTTGTGAGCATCTTGCCCGCTCTTTTCTTTGACAATATCAGCAAATGCAAGGTCAAATGATTCTCCTCGTGTTGGAGATGAAGGCCTTGCGGCGTCTGCAGAAGCCTTTGCCTTTAATGAGCTTGCATTTAGGGCATTGTCCAGACGAGCATCCTTAGCCAGGGCCTTTAGGTCAAACTTGTGCTTCAGTGCACCTTTGGCGGGCGAAACAAAAGGCACCTCTGCCGTTCTCTTGGCCCTGGGAGTATCAAATGGTGCTGCTGAGGACGCGGGCTTGGGCCGTCCTCGCCCAAGGAGAGCAGACAGGTCTTCTAGAGAGTCATCTGAGAAGCCGCCATCGCTAGCATCGTCATCGGAGGCGCCAATTTCCAGAGGGGCTACCCTTCTCGCAACAGGGGTAGCCTTGTAGCTGAGCGGCGAAGATGGAGCAGGCGGTGACGAGCCGTGGATTGATGATAGGCGTGAAGACCGCTGTGACGATGGCGTTTGCTGAGAGGACGGCTGGAAGTATGATAGGATGCTCTTGTTGGGCTTCGGTTTTTCAGACATGGCTGGGCAGTTGCCGCGCCCTGTCGGCAATGTGTATTAATCCGTCGTATTTTTATTTTCCTCCGTTGCGATGACTGGTTGCTGATATTCCGCACTTTGGGCTGAGTGAGATGCCTTGAAGTTGAAGTCTATCGTGAACGCCCAACCAACCAGCGCGTGTGGATGAGGCATGGCGCAGCATCCTAGCTTACCTGATCGGCAGATGTGGCGCAGGCGATGGCAGATCTCTACAGGGGACTTTAGTGGGCGCTGGAGCCTCGATGTGTGTTCCATTTCTATGTGGAAGTTTTATTGCAGTGTAAAGTACAGACGCAACATTGTAGAGCCAGGAGTAGCAGCTCCAGGTCATCGACTGTGTTGAACAAACTTAATGGAATTTTACTGCCACTAATAGTCATAAATTCTGTACGGCACTCTCTCTCATTGCTCGTGTTTGGTGGTTTACAGAGTTCGGCGATTTACAGGCGCCCTTCGCCGCGTTGGCAATAAAAGCTGGACAGTGATAGGCTACTTGTCAAGCCATCAACACAATGCATCACGAACGAGAACGACGAAGCCCCAGCATTACGAGCGTCTACTAGCAATAATGTCGATCCAACCAGATTCACGCATCCACGGGGTAGACGATTCGAGCCTCCATCTCTTTCATTTTGTCGCCAAACGATGATTACCGGGTAGCATGCAAATGCAGTCAGCCTCAGCTTAGCACAAGGCCTGTCGACCTATTGGTTGGCTCTGGAGGATCGCCATGCCTGTCCGTTAATCTCCCTTTGAGCTCCATAATGCTACGCTGGCTTCGGCAGGATCTTCCACTATGCTTCAACCTGAGACGTAGCTTTTAGGGCTGTGCCTCAAGCACAAAGCTCTGGATGGACGAGAGCCCACGTTGAAATGATGACGCGCGAAGCTGACGCTCGCAATCCTCATGGGAGTTGTACCCAAGATTGGAGAGCCCCGGTGCCACGCGCCCCCCAAAAACGCAATGTCTCTGTCTCTCACACACGAGAGGCTGGATGTCTTGGGTTGAGAGCCGTCCAGCCGCAGCTACGCTTGGGGCGCCAGTACGAGCGCGTACGAGTATGTACATGCGAGATTCCCGCCTCCCCTGCTCGTACAACTCATGCAGGCACTCCGGACTTTGTGCGGACTCCTCCGTTCTCCGTGAGCCATTGCGAGAGATCTGATATCCCGCCGCCTGGGGTGGAGGCTCATTTCGAAACACGTTCTGCGCCGCAATGCCAAGGAGCTGTTAGGTCGTCTGGACGCACATGCCCGCAGGCTTCAACAAGCTTTTTTGCTCGTTTGGACTCGGTAAGGAGTGCGATGGGCGGCGGTTAAAAATAGCAAAGCAACAGAAGAAACGACGACAATCCCCTTTCGCAACGAGCAGAGCAGTGGCAGCGGCTAGATCTGCTCGTGTCATCCCTGGAACTTGGGCCGGGTCTTATTTCGGCTACGCGCTCTGGCGGAGAAGGCTCTGGAAGCCTTCCGGTAGCCGGCCGCCTTGAGGAACGCGAGTTGTCGGCTAGAAATAACACGGCGGGATGGGAAGTTGATCAAAGTCCGTCGCCAACGGCGTTGGGTGTCGTCTAAACCCAAGAGCCATCATGTACTAGTAGGTTAGTATTAAGTGGGAGTAGCATATTCTTCCTCTGCGGTGGGTTTTATTAGTAATGTCCGTGGACATAATTCCACCTCCGAAATTGACATCTTCAGCGTTGGCTGCAAGCGCCTGTTGTTGTTTATTAGTACGGAGAGGGTCGTAAAGGCAGCCAGGCTTGGCTCCAGAGCCAAGCATTGGGACCCTGACTCTCAATGTCAGGACCGTATTCCACAAACATACAAGCACGCACAGGAGTGACTTGCATTGCCTGGATCCCCTGGTCAAGGCAATCCCTTTCCGTGGAACCACCCCTGAACAGACCCTCTTGGCGCAATCGCCAAATTTCCCTTCCGTACAAATCAGGTCGGCACGAAGCGGACGGACAAGGTTCAATCAGGTTTGGAAAAGGGCGAAAAAGGGCTCTCTCGAGCTCGTTTATAGAGTCTGGATTTGAAGATGCGCGTGAGCGAGCCAGTGAGAAGCATTGGATGCAGAGCGGCCGCTGCTGAAAAAGGGGCCTTGATGGTCAATATCCAATTGCTGCCAATAGAAGCAGCCGCACAGGCATGGAACACTCGATACAGGTCCATATTTTGCGATTTTTATGTGCCAATGCGGCAGCACTTATCCCGGTCTGAGCACTTTATTGAGACTGAGAAGCAGCAGGGCTGAAATGGTGCCTGGACAATCTCCTCACGATGGAGCAGATAGCTGTAAGGCGCTTGGCGGAGTAAGCATGTGTAGAGCAGATACGAAGCGGTGGTAGCATCAAGGTGGCATTAGCTGTTTGGATCGTCAAACAAGCGTCCAGCACTGGCCAACGCTCCAGAGATCAACTGTCCAGCTTTTGCTACAGCTGAAACGGATTCCTCAGCTGGGCAAGAATGCACGCGATGAGCAACCAGTCGATATCCAAGTAGAACTTGTACTCGTAAGCGTCGTCAATTGACGCGCCAGGGGACTGCTCAGCGCATCTCACGGCTGTCATGGTAGGCATCGTGATAGATTGTAATTTATGAACCGCAGAGCACCCCCACCCGCCATCCCCTGGGAGGAATCCACTGTCTCAGCGATGGACGTGCGCCCCTATTCGCGACGAGGGCTGGGTTTGAGTCCGAGTACTCATACATACAGTGCTGTACTGGTACAATACAGACACTCAGACGAGCAATTGTGGTGATGAGTTG